CTAAATAGTAAAACCAAAGTTTTCATTCAGGCCTAATTGGCATGCTGTACACAGTAGCTGTTGAGAATAAGTGATGCATATACTTAAAAGTAGCTGGACGATTATAAACAATTCACTGGTCTCTAAAAACAAGAGGCAACATCATAAAACAGCAAATAGAAACAAGTATAACAGAAGCAAACATTAAAAGGTAATGTTCAAATATGTTTCTCTTCTCATTCCACTGCCCTACAACACAACAAAGCTACTTCTGAAAATAAGCGTTTGATTTAATGTTTGCTTTGCAGTTAAGATTACTTGAGAAGAGAACATTCTAATTAAATTCAGGTAGTGGCAAACAATCCTTCTTGGCTAGCTTGCCTGACTCTTAGCTACTAGGACAAAAGTCTCCCAAGAAGTTGATAGATGCTTTTGCATAACATGTTGGACGAGAGTTCAAGAGACTAATTGGTAGCGATGAATTCACGGGCCATAGAACTAGAATGAAGAGCGGTAAAGACTGAAGTTATGCCAAGTGTATTTATTTAAAAAAAAAAAAGGGGGGGGGGAGGATTGTTGATACCCCATCCCCAAAAGAAAGATAATTCAAAGAATAAGTGAAAGCTTACAGAGTAGTTTTTAAAGACTTACTTCAGGTTTCAGTATTTTTCAGGAAGTTCAAAGTTCCTTCAGAGGCAGGAAGGAAAGCAAGTAGGATTTTATGCTAAGCATGGGATTTTCTGCTGTCTAGTTTTAGAATTGTGCTCATTAAGAAAGTGAAGGAAAGAAATATAAGGCTCCAAGGCTGGTAGAATGTGGTCATGTTCAGGTATAGTGAAGTCAGAACTGGATGTACAGTCACTTGTGATTGTAAGGAATGAGACATGAGCAGGAACTGAGGCACCAGTGGTTGTTGTCTATGATGCAGTAGCTGTTCAGGAGACAAACCAAATCAAACATCATAATATCTATTGTATAGAGCAGGGGTCTTCAAACGTGGCCCTTTTATGACTTGTGGACTTCAACTCCCAGATTTCCTCAGCCAGAGCATATAATAATTATTATTATTTGACCATGTAACTAAAGAGAAGTAGGAAACTTAGGAAAACCATGGCAGCTGATGGAAAAATCAATGGACCACTGAATAAAAGGCCTACAATACGTAATAGTACATAGTATCCTGCAACCTGTCAACACCTGTCAGTAGTACCTCCCACTTGTAATCCCAGCAACTAATACAAAAGATAAATAATCATAATGACAGACAGCCCTTGGCAGCCTTCCTTATTCGTGTTAACAAATCTTCTGTGTTCTGTAAAGCATCTTTACATCATGACATTACTTCAGACTTTAATTAAGAAGAATACTTCCTTCTATTAAGCCAGAATATCTCTATTCATCTTATTGGATGATCCCGGGAATTGATATTTTTAGTGTAATATTTTAAACCCTCTGCCACTTTTTCCATACCATGCAATATTTTGTCAGTCATCGGATCCTCCCTATTCACAGTGTTTTTCTAAGGGAAAATGTCCATTTACTGTAACTATTTATCACAGATCTCTATTCACACCTGCGATTATTTTGATTTGTCAAGTTTTGTATCCTTTCCCAAAGGTGCTTTTCAAAAGGCAACTGGATTTTCTTGACAAGTCCATGACCTGGATGATTGAGAATCTCCATAGACATTTACAAGCAAAGCCACCATAAAGTATAACAGTGCAAAACCCACCAACTGCTAATGCCCCCTTATTCTATTCCAGTCCTTCTTGTCCTTCATTTCCTTCTGCAACAGTTACAAATCCAGCAATTCTTATCCTCTGAAATGGAACAACATATGCTTGTCCTGATCAGTGTGCTAACATTGCAGAGTACAAGAGTACTTTTGTGCTCTTCAGGCATGTAACACATCCTGCCAAAACCGTGAGATTGTGTTCTTTTATAGACTGATGGGTTACTAATTATAAAAGTAGAACAGCTCCCAAGAAACCAGATTTAATGGAAAGCAATTAGAGAGCAATGGTGCTCCTTGGATTCAGAGACTGACATATTTTTAAAAAGAAAGTGAAAAGATATATAAATTATTGCTCTCTGGGTTTTTTTCTACTTGTTTTTTTTCTACTAGCTTTTTGTTGTTGCATTTTTATTAAAATCACAAGAGGAAATGTCCTCATAATAGTTTGTGGGATGACATCCCTACAGAATAGAACAATAAATAACAGAAGGACAAACTTTATATGATCAGTCCACATACTTTCCATTTGCTAGACATTCTTTTCTCACTAAGAAAATAACTCCTAAGGTCATCATAGTTCTTTCTCTTAAAGGGGCAGAAATAGATATGCCCAAATAGGATGTTGTTTAAACTTTGTTTTTAACATAAAAGACTCCAAAAGCAATTTAATGGTTTAAAGAAGAGAAAAAACAAATAGCACCAAAAATAATATTGTACTAAGAAGAAGAAAATGTTATAGATGTGATTCCAGTTACAAAATTCATAAGGGACTTTCAGTGTGAGATCTTCAACAAATTTGAGAGTGCACTTATTTTTCATCTTATTCTCAGTTTCTTGGTCTTTGATCTCATTGGTCTCATTCTGTCACAATTTCATGAAATCATACATGAACCAAACCTTCATGTACACTGTAAGATAGAGTAAGTAAAACTTCATAGCATAGTAAGTAAGACTTTATAGCATAGATGCCATCTATGACATTAAACAGAAACAATCCATAAGACTGTTCCCATGCCTAAAAGTTCTAGCCATAAGAAGATGAGGGAGAAGAGAGAGAAGAAGAGAGAGAAGTCTTGCAAGGTCAGAAGAATTTTTTTCCAATAATGGTTGCAGTTCCCAGAGAAATTTCCAGATAAAATCTTTCTGTTGCTATCATCATATTTAGCCACTGTTTTTTATAGCAGTCAGATGTCATCTTCTATCTGGAACTTTCTTGTTTCTTATCAGAGAAAAGGAGAATCTAAAAATGTAAAAATTGATCTCTTTGTCGGTTTTCTGTATACCTCGATGTTGAGGCTATTGTCTTCCTTAATGTGCATTGCACAGTCCAGGAAAGCTAGACAATTCTCCTTGACATCTTCCCATGTGAATTTAATGTATCTGTCCACAGTATTGATGTGCTTGGTGAAGGCTGCTACTCCCCCCTTAGAGAAAGTCGCCTCTTCAGAAGCAATGGCTTATTTCTAACTATGTACATTTTTATTCCCTAGATGATAACCTGGTATTCCTGGCAAACTAGTATTCATCCTTTTCTCAATTCCCTCGGAGGTAGAGATGCTTTTGTTGCTTCTGTCAAGGCTTCCATGGATAGAGGCTTGGGGGCTATGGGCTTGGTTCTGTTTTATGACCCATACAGTCCCTGTTCTTTCATCCTCTTTCTCCGGTAAAGATCAATATGCCTTCTTTGTGAAATGTGTTGACCTTGGGCATTGCCTGCTTGTGAGCACAGAAGGCGATTATCATCAGAATAATGGTTAGTCTCATTCTATTGTTTGGTTCACATTTCATGCTAAACCATAATGGGGGTTTATGTATTGCTTCTTGGCATGTTATTTTTATTCAAGAAATGGTATGCACCATTCTTTAGCCTCATGTGTGAAGCCAGTCTGTATTGCTTACATGGACTGCAGTAGCTTTTCAATGTTTCAGTGAAATGTTTTTCTTAGCAGATGTACCCACATCTATAGAAGTGGGAGAGCTGGCACTGCATTGGTGTGATTCAGATAGACCTCGTTTAACAACTGCCTCAGATAGTGATCATTTGCATTTATGACAGTGGTGAAAAAGTAACTTTGCAACTGGTCCTCACGTATATGGATGTTACAGGTCTATAAGGCAAAGAAGAGCTGAAGGAAGGTCATAAGGACAGCTGTGGTGTAACTTAATGATCACTTTGCTTAACAGCTGAATTGCTGGTTCCAATTATGGTCGCTAAACAAAAACTACCTGTGCTACTTTCTCCTTTTGCACTTCCACCTACCTCTGTGGATGACTCTATTTCTTAATCAATCAAGACTGGGATATTTTTCATATGAACTTGGGGGCATTCTTCATCTGAACTATAGTCCCTGAATGGCTGCACATTCTGATTAAAAATGTGACTTCCACCCACAGAATAGGAAATGTTAGCTATATTAAAAAAATAGTACATTATGGAATTATAGTTTAAGCTGTATCACAGGATATAGAATTTGACTAGCACTAAAAGTGCACTGATGATGTTACCTTATTTAGCTAATGAAACATCTGCAAGAAAACAACCAAGCTTGGGGAGCACCAAAACCCCTTGACAACAGGGGTGTCAAACTGCCAGTCTGCGGGCCAGATGCATCATAGCCGGCAATGAAAAAAAAGTTGCGATACGTCGTGACACGTCATGTGATGTTGTGAGTTTGACACTCCTGCCTTACACAACACCTGACTTAGTCAAATTTTGGCCTTCCATGATGCTTCAGGCAGGGCTGTCCACTATGATACGTGGAATTGGGGCAAAGCACTAGACTCCATTTCTATGCATATTATTGGTTCTCCTTCAGTGTAGCATCATTGTAGATCCTATTAATCCTGGATGGGCTGGGACCATGAGCAGACACCATGGAAGAATCAAGGTCCATTTAAGCAAACCAAAATACAAAATAAAATGTTTGGACTTGGGTTGTGAAGATCCACAAAATCTTGTACATCTTAAATGACTCCTCCCAGAGGTGTATGTTTCATTCCTGCAGATCTTTGTATTATATATGCTGCTGGTTGAAGGGAAGACTATATCAGACAGTTAATACTGGAGTGGTAATTTTAACAATAAAAAAATCACCCAACGTGTAGGACGTGAGCCTGCAAGTGTAATGTGAATTAGCAGATTAAAAATGAAGTTTGCATGCATGGTTTGTCAATTTACAAAGTAAATTAATGGTTTCCCTGTGACTTTTGGTCTGATCCACCTTGTTAATTTAAGCAATTTTGCGCCAACAAAATGTGAGAGATGCATGTGAGGCTGTCACTTTGGGTGACCTGTTCCTGGTGCAAGAATGCCAACCTTAGATGATATTCTAGAGCAGATTGGAGAGTTTGACTTGTACCAGAAAAGAGCATTTTTTGTCCTGTGTTTGCTGTCTGCTGCCTTCACACCCATCTATGTTGGTATCGTATTCTTAGGTTTTACTCCTGAGCATCGTTGCCAGACTGCTGGGCTTCCTGAATTAACAGCCAGATGTGGCTGGAGCCTTGAAGAGGAGCTGAATCATACCCTTCCAAAGAAAGAAACCCATGGGGATGTTTTCATTAGTCAGTGCCAGAGATACAATGTGGACTGGAATGTATCTGAGCTCAATTGCACAAATCCAATTAATTTTTTCACTGCTGATAGCAATGTCAGCCACATTCCTGTTGTTGCATGCCAAGATGGTTGGATTTTTGATTTCCATGGATCATCCATTGTGACTGAGGTAAGATCCCTGCAATAATCATAAATTATTTGCTAGGTGATAAAGCTACTGTAAAGAGCTAAACCTCTGCTAAGCCATTTTGGCCAGCTGAGATGGACACCAAAGGCTCTTCTCTTCTCCAGATGTTATTGCCTCTCGAAGTTAGACAGATGGCTTCTGGAATGAAAGAGCTGACAAGCTCTGTCCCAAGGTAGATCTACTGATTATTTTTACATTATCTTTTAGACATCAAGCAAAATATGCACTAGTCATCTGAGTTTGAGGTTAACAATCACCTCAGAAAAGGTGGTAAAATCAGGCACATTAAGACCCCCTTAATGTACAACCATAAATTCAGGATAAATTACAGTTGTAAATCAAAGACTATCTGTAATTAATAAAACATATTGTGATTGGCCTAAGGAGTTGATTTTTAGTGTATCCTGTAGATGTTTTAAAAAAGAGGTATTTTTTAAAAGCCCTCAGATGTTAAATGGGAAACAGAGGTGATATTGTTTAAATGTATTCAGAGAGGACAAATATTAATGAAGGAGGAATGAGACAATAATAATTGCCTTGAAAGAATTTGGAATTACATGACGATTCAACCTTTGTCATGTTTAAAGGAGACTCATTGATCGTAACAGGACAACTTGGATATGCTGATGTAGTTTTAAACTATAAGATTTAATGTCTTAATTTTAATGTCTGTATGTTATTGTTAAATGCTCTGAACATTATATACAGCAAAAAAAGGTGGGGCAGATTTTTAATTGAATCATGAATAAACACAATATCCTGGCCTTTTCCCGAAACCCAGCAAGAAAAAAGGAAAGATATTTTTGCTATTCTGTCTTAAATTTAAAAATAAAGTTACTTTTTATAAAATATTTGAAACAATGGCGTACATTTTGATGTGCTTTCTCTAACCAGCACCCTTTATCTTGTCAGTTTAACCTGGTGTGCAAAGATGCTTGGAAACTGGATCTATTTCAGTCATGCGTGAATGTGGGCTTTTTTCTTGGTTGTGTAAGCATTGGCTACCTGGCAGACAAGTAAGTGAGATTTTCCATGTTGAATTGTAGTGTTTACTGTTTCTCTATTCAGAAGAAAAGAGGAAGCTGCAGAGATATTCTTTAGAACAAAGTTGCCTTTTGTTGGAAAACTAACACTTGGAACAGAATGTTGTATTATGTATTCAGCAAGTGAGAATATTTGCTCTCGCAGTTGGCCCTTATCTGCCCTTTCATTAGATCCAAAGAGATTCTATGCAATCTAAATATTACTTTGTTCAAAGAAAATCCATTCAGCCAACAGGAAATAAAGTGGTCTGACCTATTGTTTCCTGTGGCATCCTTCCCTGATTTATGACCAATTAGACTTTATTAGCTAGTTTGGCTAATAAATTTTACTTAGCCAGTTTGGTGTAGTAGATAAGGCATCAAGCTAGAAACTGGGATAATAATAATAATAATAATAATAATAATAATAATAATAATAATAATAATAATAATAATAATAATAGCAGCTCCTTGGGTGCAATCCCAAAACAACTGGAGCACCACTTGAACACCATTGGCATTGACAAATTCGCTATTAGTCAATTGCAAAAGGCGGCCTTATTAGGAACTGCTTCCATCCTGCGACGATACCTGTAATACCATCAAACATCCACATCTGCCTATCCCAGGTCCTGGGTAAGGACTCGATAGGTAGACAAAATGCCAAATCCAGTCTGAACATCTGGTTGACTGTGCGATGATCCATAATAATAATAATAATAATAATAATAATAATAATAATAATATTGGGAGGGACCTTGGAGGTCATCTAGTCCAACCCCCTGCTCAGGCAGGAAACCCTATATCATTTTGGACAAATGACTGTCCATTCTCTTCTTAAAAACCTCCAGTGTTGGAGCGTTCACTGCTTCTGGAGGCACAGGTTGTTCCACTGGTTAATTGTTCTAACTGTCAGGACGTTTCTCCTTAGTTCTAGGTTGCTTCTCTCCTTGATTAGTTTCCATCCGTTGCTTCTTATCCTGCCTTCAAGTGCTTTGAAGAATAGCTTGACTCCCTCTTCTTTGTGGCAGCCCCTGAGATATTGGAACACTGCTATCATGTCCCCCCTTGTGGTGTTTGTTCTCATCCTTAGGCCCAAAGCCAGCCCTCTCTTTCAGCCCTAGGAAGGAAACAATGGCTAATCGCTTCTGAAAATCTTGCCAAGAAAACTGCAGAGATTTATTTGTCCATCTTGTTACTAGGAGTCAATACCGACTTGAAGGCAAAAGAAAAGAAAATATTATTTGCATGCTGTCATAATCTCCAAGGACAGCTGGAGGTTAGCAACAACACCATAACAATCATACAGTAATAAATGTAAATGTTTATGGTAAACAATAAAAATTACAGTAAATGAAGTAATCCAATCCAATGCTCTGAATTAAGCAACTTTTTAAAGATTTTGGAGCTGGATAGCTTGTGCGGGGTTTTGCAAGATCTATGAACAGACGTTTTAAGAAGACCTGAAGAAGAGACATGGGGATACCACCAGCAATAATATATTGCATTGCATTGCCTCCAGTCTGAACATAGATGGCCTTTGACCTCTCAATCTTTTCAACATGTTTCTATATCACAGCACTCCCGAACAACAGGACTGTTCTAAATTAATGAGTTTTTTTTAATTATTTAGAGTTTCATTGGAAAATAATTCTGTGTCTTCCATAACATTAATACTGTTCATCTCCCTTCCACTTTTCAAGTACATAATAATGACTGCAATGTCTTTTCTCTCTAGGTTTGGCCGAAAACGGTGCTTACTAATTACCATCCTAATAAATTCTATCTCTGGTGTTCTTGTGGCTGTTGTCCCTAGTTACACATGGGTAGTGGTTTTTCGCTTGATACAAGGATCGGTCAGCAAAGGAGGCTGGTTAACAGGATATATCTTGAGTAAGAGTGTTAAATATTCAGTTAATACTGCATAATAGACTATTGTACATTAACCATGCTTCTCACCCTACCCTTATACGTTAATTAACTAAAATAAAATAATTACTATTTCCATCTAACAAGATGGGGTACACCTTTCGTTTACTGAATTAAAAGTTGCCATATAGATTTTTTCATTATTTCAGAATGTACCAGTAGTAGCTTTTGCTAATATGGAAAGCTGCTTATTCCGTTCATAGAAGATGCTTTGTACAATTAATAAAGTATTAATAAATAATAAGTGATAAATAATAAATAATAAGTGATATGTAGGAATATTTGCAGGAAGAAGTCAAAACACTCAAGGTGTTGGCCACAACCATGAGATTTGAGCCCTCCCCTTCCATAAAGTATGTCATGACATGCCTTAAAAAGGGGTGGTGCTCAGATCCCACAATTGTGAATGTTTCGATTGTCTTATGGACAACTTTGATGGGATAGTGTGCACATTTTCATCTTGGGAAAGTTCATAAAATCCCAGGAACATATTGAATACTTTTGATGATGTCATAGAAAGATGTGCTTCCCCATTTTACAGAAGTTGAATTCTGACTTCTAAAAAAATGGAAACTTTCCTATTTGAGCACTGCATGTAGAAGACTAAAACCGAGCTTCCTTCCAATGATGATGATTACCATGATGATACAGTGCTATGTTTAATTTCCTCTGCCCTTTCAAAGTTGCAGAGTTTGTTGGTGTGAACTACAGAAGAACAGTTGGCATTGTTTATCAAGTGGCCTTCAGTGTTGGACTCCTCATACTTGCTGCTGTTGCTTATGGAATTCCTCACTGGAGATGGCTTCAGCTTGCTGTCACATTGCCAAATTTCTTCTTTTTGCTCTATTATTGGTAAGTAAGGCTGCCCTTCTAACTAAAACAGAAGAAAAACAAGAATGCACATAACATATTGTTACCAAGAAGAACCTTTGAGGGGGGGGGGATTTTCTTAAATTGGGGCCTAACTAGAGACTTTATTTTTCCAGGAAAAAAATGCACTTGTTGCCAGTTTTGCTTTGACTGTATCACCCAAATTTAACATTCCAAGATGTTAATTTAGGGATGTGTATAATACTTTGGATTCAGAACTGGAAGGGTAACGAATGTAGCAATTATCTTTAAAAGAGCTGTGGTTTTCCTTGCAGCCATTTGATAGCTACAGAGGACAGCTGCGTGCTCCTGTGAAAAGCCCTGGTGCTTTAGAGCGGCAGATAGGTGCTGTGCTCACGCTTCTGTGCACTCCAAAATATATTTTGTCAATTATTTACAAGTTAGTATACTTTAATTATGAAAGGTCATTGAAGATTGGCAATATTAATCCATGCGAAGATCTTAGAAAAGAACTGTTGTAAGAGTTGAGTTTAAGCTGGCTTTTCATTTGTGGAAGTTTCATGTCCTTCCTAGGTAACATCTTCAGTGCTATGATCTTGGAGAAGTGAGGTTTGCTGCCTATTGTGGAAACTGCTTATATGGGAGTGGATAGTCTATGCCAGTGGTGGTGAACTTATGGCACGGGTGCCAGAAGTGGCACTCAAAGCCCTCTCTGTGGGCACGTGCGCCATTGCCCCAGTCCTAGGCCTTCAGCTGGGTTTTATAAAACCTTTTCGCTTTAGGCCTCTGCCGCCATGTGAAAAAAAAAGGTTCAATCAATCAGTCAATTTCAACTTCTTGTGGGAAAATAAAGATCCTGCAAAGTTGGAATTGGTTGATTGAACTTTTTAGTCCCACCCAGTCTGCCGTTACCACTGCAGCCAAGCCTACCCAATGGACCACACCCACCCAATGGTCACCCGGCACCCAACGATGCATAAGTGGGTTTTGTGTTGCAGTTTGGGCACTCGATCTCTAGAAGGTTCGCCATCACTGGTCTATGCTGTTGCATTTTATTGTTTTCTATGTGATTATTGAGCTATTTTTGTTATACTGATGTGGTGCCACCTGTTATAGTGTCTTCAAACTTTAAACAACATCCAGATGAGCAGCAGATGATACTGCATCAACGTTACAAGAACTAAATAATATGTCGATCACATGGAAAACAGTGGCACTCACCCAATCACATACAACCCTGATAGGGCAGACCACTATATATTCCCCAGCTAACTGACTAACCTCATTTATCCAAAATCAGCATTGAGATATGTCAGGCTCCAAGAACAAAGAAGGACATGTAGTGATTCTTCTAAGTAGATATTTTTATTGTTTCACACTTATAGACAGAATTTTACCAAATTAAAGCAAACCGCTCCCTATATGAAGCATATACTTTGGGAACCATTAGGGAGGGGTTGTCTTCACCTCCTTTCTCTCACACAAACTAATTGAACTGACTTGCTGCTTACTCCTCTGAAATGCACTTCCACCAGACTACATTCTATGACAGATATGACCTTGGTGGGTCAAACCCAGACAACTCCTGACACTCTAACCCTGAATAACATACAGGTAGTCCTTGATTTATGACCATAACTGGGTCCAGAACTTCCATTGTTAAGTGAGATGATTGTTGCATGAGTCGTAGCCAAATTTTACCATCATCTTTTGTTATGGTTTGTAAGCAAATCACTATGGCTGTTAAGTGATGCACCTGGTTGATAAATGAATCCAACTTCCTCTATTGACTTTGGTTGTTGGAAGCCAGCTGGGTAGGACACAAATCTTGGAATGTTAAATTTGGGTGATACAGTCAAAGCAAAACTGGCAACAAGTGCATTTTTTTTCCTGGAAAAATAAAGTCTCTAGTTAGGCCCCAATTTAAGACACTGCAACCATTGTAAATGCATGTCGATTGCCAAAGGCTCAAATTCTGATCACATGACCATGGGGACCCTCTGATAGTTGTAAGTCACTTTTTTCATCACTTTGAACAGAGATTAAACAGATGGTTATAAGTCAAGGACTACCTGTATATTCTCTATCATCACAAGTTTCATCATGTTGCAGAAAGGGAACTCGGACAAGATATTACAAAAGGGAACTTGTGCAAAAGGGAATTTGGACAGATACTACATACTTACACAAAGAAATCTTGTTTCAATCAATTCAAGACAAGTCCTATGTCATCCTGATTTTATGTTGCCATCAATGTTACACAGCTACACTGTTTTACAGGTGTCTTCCAGAATCCCCAAGATGGTTGATAGCCCAGCAGGAAAATGACAAAGCTCTGAAAATTATTAAGCGTATAGCTAAGGGGAATCAAAAGACGCTGCCACCATCCATGGAGGTAATCAGACCTATTTCCTTGCAAAGCTATCCCAGGAGTGGTATGCTGTGCAAATAACATTCCAAAATATGGATTTAGCATCCCATTTGATAAGCCAGGATTCTGGGCAGAATTTGTAATTTGTAAGTATTCTTTGCAGATGTATTGCCTCAATTCACCTTACTGTAGCCTGTGAGTAGATATTGCTGTATATTATTTAGAGTTTCTTGAATGGAGAATACAGTATAAATATAATAGCAAGTAAATAAGATCAACATATTAGTAACCCCAAAGCAAAAGTTATTCCAACAGAATTGCTTCCATGTGGACATCATTATGAACAGCATAGAAAGAGCAAAAAAAAACACCCCAACCCTGGTTAGGTAAGACTTTTGCACAAGAAAGTGACTGTAGAAGGAGGCTGGTGGAAAATTATTTTCCGCCCTAGGTGTATAAGAAGTCTGATTTCCAGAGATTCCACTCCTACTCAGCTCAGTAGAAATCCATTCCTGAGGGTCCAACAGCTTTTAGGAAATGCTTTGTGGACAGATTAGGCTGTTGTGGTGAGGATGTTCAGGACCCTGGCCTCAGGTTGCTGCTTCTTAATGCCAGGTCGGTTATTAATAAAGCTCCCCTCATCCGGGACTTGATACTGGATGAGGAGGCCGATCTGGCATGTATTACTGAGACTTGGCTGGGCCAAGAGGGAGTGTTCCTCTCTCAGAGATGTGCCCAGACGGGTTTCAGATAATGCACCAACCGCGATTCCAGGGAAGGGACGGGGGAGTGGCGATTCTTGTCTGAGAATCTTTGAGACCTCGCAGGATCCCTGCCCCAGAGGTTGTTGGGTGTGAGTCCCTTCTCTTGAGGTTGGATTCAAGGGTTCAGTTGGGCTTGTTGCTGACATACCTGCCTCCCAGCTATGTGACAACAGCCCTGCCCGAGCTGCTGGAGGGGGTAGCGGGGTTGGCAGTGGAATTCCCCAGGCTTATGGTGCTGGGGGATTTCAATCTGCCGTCACTCGATGAATCCTCCGGTGCGGCTCAGGAGTTCATGGCTTCCATGACAACCATGGACCTGACCCAGATAATTCAGGGTCTGACCTATAGGGGAGGACACATGCTCGACTTGGTATTCCTCTCGGGGCAGTGGAGACGTGATTTTGATTTAAGGGGTATAGTTACTTCTCCCTTGTCATGGTCGGATCACTTCCTGTTGAGGTTAGATTTCTCGGTCCTACTCCCCCACCGCAGGGAGGCGGAACCGATTAGGTGGTTCCGCCCCAGGCATTTAATGGACCCAGAGGGGTTCCGAATAGCGCTTGGGGGTTTTCCTGATTCCCTCCTCCACAAACTGGCTGAGTCCTTGAAATAAGGCGGCATCAGGGGCATTAGACCAGATCGCGCCTTTGCGACCTCTCCGTGACTGTGGATTCCGGAGGGCATCTTGGTTTACCGAGGAGCTACGGGAGATGAAGCGTCAGAAGAGACATCTAGAGCGACGCTGGAGGGCTAGTAACTCTGAACCTGACTGGACACTTTTAAGAGCCTATATTAGGACTTATTTAGTGGTGATACGAGCGGCAAAATGTTCGCATTTTTCCGCACTTATTGCATCTGCAGAATCTCGCCCTGTCGCCCTGTTTAGGGTGACCCGTTCCCTACGTAACGTTCGGGAAGCCGGGGAGCCCTTGCAGGGTAGGGCGGAAGAATTTGTGCAGTTTCCATCAGACAAAATCGCTCGGATTCAGACAGACCTAGACTCCGATTGGGCAGGGCCTTCTGAGATGACCAGGGCAGGTCTTAGCCCAGTTTTATGGGATGAATTTGAGTCGGTGACCGCTGAGGATGTTGACAGAGCGGTGGGAGCGATGAGCACCTCCACTTGTTTATTGGACCTGTGTCCTTCCTGGTTGGTCTCGGCCGCCAAGGAGGTGACACAGGGCTGGCTCCAGGTGTTGATCAACGCTTTGTTGAGGGAGGGGTCTTTCCCGCAACCCTTGAAGGAAGTGATTGTGAGGCCCCTTCTCAAGAAGCCTACCCTGGATCCGGCTGATTTAAATAACTTCCATCCAGTCTCCAATCTCCCCTTTTTGGGGAAGGTTGTAGAGAGAGTAGTGGTGCTCCAGGTCCGACAGTCTCTGGATGAAGCGGCTTACCTGGACCCTTTTCAATCTGGCTTCAAACCCGGCTTCTGCACAGAAACTGCTTTGGTCGCGCTGATGGGTGATCTCTGGCGGGCCTGAGACAGGGGTTTTTCCTCTGTCTTGGTGCTACTTGACCTCTCAGCGGTCATGGTATCCTTTTGCAATGACTTGGAGGGGCGGGAGTGGGAGGCACTGTTTTATGGTGGTTCTCCTCCTACCTCTCTGGCCGGTCGCAATTGGTACTGGTGGGGGGCAGAGGTCAACCCCGAGGCCCCTTGAATGCGGGGTGCCGCAGGGGTCGGTCCTCTCCCCCCTCCTATTTAACATTTACATGAAGCCGCTGGGTGAGATCATCAGACAGCATGGGGTGAGGTTTCATCAGTATGCTGATGATACCCAGCTATATATCTCTTCCCCGAGCTCTCTCAGTGAAGCGGCTGATGTGATGGGCCGTTGCCTTGAAGCCGTGAGGGTCTGGATGGGGGTTAACAGACTCAGGCTCAATCCTGACAAGACCGAGTGGCTTTGGATGTTGCCTCCTAAGGATCATGTTAACTGTCCAGTGTTGACTCTAGCAGGGGAAAATATACCCCCTTCGGAGTGGGTTCGCAATTTGGGTGTCCTCCTTGATCCACAGCTGAAATTGGAACATCATTTGACGGCTGTGGCTGGGAGGACCTTTGCACAAGTTCGTTTGTTGCACCAGTTGCGACCCTACCTGGACCGGAAGGCTCTCCTTACAGTCACTCATACCCTTGTCACCTCATGCCTGGACTACTGCAATGCGGTCTACATGGGGCTACCCTTGAAAAGTATTCAGAGACTACAGTTGGTCCAGAATGCAACCGTGCGGGTGATAGTGGGTGTTCCTCGGTACACCCCATTACACCTATCCTCCGCGAGCTGCACTGGTTGCCTATTGGTCTCCGGGTCCAATTCAAGGTGTTGGTTATTACCTTTAAAGCTCTATATTGCTCAGGGCCAGGCTATTTGCAAGACCACCTACTACCTCATAGTTCCCTTCGTCCGGTTAGATCCCACAGGCTGGGCCTCCTTCAGGTCCTGTCGGCCAAGCAGTGCCATTTGGCGGGGCCATGGGGGAGGGCTTTCTCTGTGATGGCGCCCACGTCTTGGAACCAGCTCCCCCCGGAGATTACGACTGCTCCCACCCTGTTCGTTTTCTGCAAGCTGCTTAAGACCTGGCTTTTCCGGCAGGCCTGGGGTTTATAAAATCTGACCCCTGGATGAATGTTACTGTATTGTTTGTCTTGTTAAGTTATATTGTGTTTTTTTGTTAGCCGCCCGGAGTCCTGCGGGAGTGGGGCGGTCTATAAATTTTAATAAATAAATAAATAAATACTCAGATCAGTAGAAATCCATTCCTGAGGGTCCAATAGCTTTTAGGAAATGCTTTGTGGACAGATTAGGCTGTTGTAGTGAGGAGAGGATGAAAAAATCTTATTTATTGGCACTTTACTCCAATTGCTGTCAGTCAGGAAATGAACATGGAGAACAGAAAAACATTTGAGTTACAAAAGAGGGCACATTCCTTTTTTTTTATAGCTGACTGCTATGTTCTCTATATATTTTTTACTTTAAAAAATTGAAAAGCTAAGTCCTCTCACCAGAATCTCTGATACCATGATTTCAACTACCTCCAACAGTAAAAAATGTTTTGGTTTTTTTGTCCTAGAAACTTCGGCCTGAGGAAGAAATAAGCGATAAGCCTAGCCCTTCCTTTATAGACCTGGTGAGAACACCACAGATAAGGAAACATACATTAATCTTAATGTACACTTGGTAAGAAAAGTTCATTTTTTAAAAAAGATCCAAAGACATCTCCATGTAGCTGACCAGCTGAGGGGGAGGCTGCAGAAATAGTAAGAATGGCAATAGGAGACTGGAAGAGAGAGCATTGAAATCAAACAGAATCAAATAGCAATGTTTTCTTTTTAATTAAACTTTAATTAAACAACTTATTTAATTTAATTAACTGCTACTTGTTTAGCTTTTGACTGTGGAATGGAAAAGGCTAGCCTTTTTTACTTGAGCAGAATGTCTTGGCTCAATTTTTCTTCATGAAAACAATCCATTTTCTCTCACATCCACAATTTTTGAGAGGAATAGCTACACTTAGCAGAGCTCTTTATTTAATTGACTGGATTTACACATTGTGGTAAGCCATTGTTTGGTTAGCTACAGTTCAGTGATTCATCTCAGCTAGCAAATTTTACATTCTAGGCCAGGGATGTCCAACCTTGGCAACTTTAAGACTTGTGAACTTCAACTCCCAGAATGCCACAGCCAGTCAAACAGCCACTGTCAATTCTGGGAGTTGAAGTTCAAAAGTCTTAAAGTTGCCAAGATTGGATATCCCTGTTTTAGGCCACAAAATGTGCTTTACAAATCACAGTGCTTAGGTTCACCCAACAATAGGCTAAGCTGAAATGAAACAAACCACATTATGGCTAAAGAGATGTGAAGCAAACCTGCTTTTATAATGAAATGTGTCCAGACATTAATGTCGATAGATAGCCAGGTACACTTTATATGCATTCATTCTCAAGCTCTTTGGCATTAAACTATACTCAGGTTTAATTTCAAACTGTCTTTCAGCTTTAGAAAATGGCATGAGGCAATATAGTACAGGACTTGAATAATGTTTTGAAAAAAACCCCTAAAGCATGGCTTCATCTTCTTTGTCTAGGTTTACCAGTGCTGTAGTGTATCAGGGCCTCATCATGCATCTGGGAATTGGTGGAGGCAACATTTACCTGGACTTTTTCTATTCTGCTCTTGTGGAATTCCCTGCTGCCATCATACTCATAGTCACAGTTGACCGTATAGGCCGCCGTTTTCCCTGGGCTGTGGCAAATTTTATGACAGGAATTGCCTGTCTCATTACTGCCTTAGTTCCTGAAGGTGAGTGTTGTAGTGATACACTGGGTATGCCCCCTTTTCTCTCTAATCCAGTGGTCAACAACAGTGGCCTTCCAGTTGGGTTGAGTTCTGACACCCGTGAGCCCCAGCCAGCATGGCTAGTAGTGAGGAATGAAAAGGGAAGCAGCCCAAAGACACCTGGCTGTGCTCAAATTGTCTACTCCTACCTGAAATGTGTTGAAGAAGTTCAAAATGTCAGTTTTCTCTCCTAATCCAATGCTATTCTTTGCAACTTTTTTTCTATTAAAATATAATACATAGAGCTTGTACCATTCCCCTCTCTCTCATGGGCAAGGGAAAATAGAATTTGGAGACCATTCTGCAAATGAAGTGGTCCAATCAGGAAAGAGTCAGGCAGACATTTCTTTGTCCACCCTTCCTTCATCCCAATTGCTTCATAAGTATAATCCATCATTTTGTGTCATACACATGCAAAATGGTTCCTCCCCAGCATGTGCTTTGCACAATGTCTATTGGGTAAACTTGACTCTTGAAGCCTGGACCTATGTATAAATGCCGTGCATGCTTTGGATTTTTTAAATGTATTTAGTAATTTTATAAGCTGCCACATTTCATATACATGACTCTGGGTAGCTCACAGTTAAAACAGAATAAAAAGAGTGAAAAAAACCAACCAGAGTTTTAAAAAAGCATTAAAAATGACATAAAAATAGGAGCTGAGAAGATTCACAAACACTAAGCTTACCCATGCTATCAGATCCGCCCCCCCCCCCGACTTGAAGATAAAAGCCAGGTTTCTAGTGCTCTGTGAAAGAAAGACTAATCTAATTTCAGCATGGGTCTTGATATCTAGAAGGCAGGCATTAAGGCAGAAAAGACCCTCTTCCTGGGTCCTGAGAGGCAGCAACTTTTTCTCTCATAGACAGAGACATTTGGTCTCCTGCCAGATCTCACAGTCAAGTAGACACCAGTGAGTACACAAAGTACTATACGCTTTTAGTATCTAACATATAAATATCCATTATATAAGCATGTATTTAGAGAAATAACAAAGAAAACAGCAGCTGCTTGGGTCATCTAGAACACACCAAATCCAGAATACAAGGCAATTTATTTCTATGCAGTTTGAGGGTTTATGCCTATATGTTATCCCTTAATCCCTTATTCCCGGATCATATCATGCTATTTGAGTTGTTATCACTTATCAAATAAAGTAGAATTCCTAATTAGGTATGACCTCCTCTACCACTTCTGCATCCCCCACTCATAAAAAAAAAAGTACAAAACCAAACCCCTCCCAAGAAGTTAAAAGACAAGATGAAGCTGAGGATATCATTCAATATCTTTTCAGATCTCTATTGGCTAAAAATGACTGCAGCTTGCCTTGGCAGGCTGGGTATTACCATGTGCTATGAAATGGTTTGCTTAGTCAATGCAGAACTCTATCCAACTTTCCTCAGGTGAGTGAATCCTCTTCCGTTATCCTGGGTTGGGTTGGGATGGACCTTGTTGGACCTTTTTTGGTTTGGTTGGGCTGAACTAAGGAGGAATTTCCTGACAAAACAATTAAGCAGTGGAATGACTTGCCTCTGCTCCATCATCGGAGGTTTTCAAGAAGAGACTGAACAGCCGTTTGTCTGGAATGGTATAGGATTTCCTGCTTGAGCAGAGGGTTGGACTAGAAGATCTCCAAGATCCCTTCCAACTCTATTATTCTGTTATGGTTGCTCAAGTACGGTAGCTTTTGATATTCAAAGCCAACCTCTGATGCATACCAAGCTCATAAACGGTTTTCTCAATTATTTAGTTTCAAAAGCTAAGGGGAATGGTGCTACCCGCCTTCCCCCCAAAAAAGCTTGATAGATTCTCCAAGCAAAATGAAAGAACTGGTCTGAGAAATATGGCCGATTACAAAAAAAAAAATATCCACATTGTTTTGGAATCCTTTGAACACACTATTGATAAAGGTTTTTTTCCTGCGTTTTTTTTCTTTTTTAAAAGGAACCTGGGGGTTCTTGTCTGCTCTTCCATGAGTGATATTGGGGGGATCATAACTCCGTTCATTGTCTATAGGCTGGCAAACATTTGGCATGAACTTCCGCTTATCGTCTTTGGTAAGAATGACCTTTTGTTCTTTTGAGTGATTGAGAATAAGGGCACCACTTGTGCTTCTGAGATAGCAAGTCTCAGATTTCTTCCTGTGTCTCAGATATATCCTGGCAGAACAGTGCAGCCTTGGGGGACTTCTGGTCAAGCTCTTTAAAAAAAATCTCTAAATCTCAGGGTCACGGCAATGGAATTTGTATCTTGTTCTATTAAGCAATTCAGCTTAATCAATGATTTACATAATATGACTCTTGGCTGCAAACAGGACTTTTTCCTGTTCATCTGTAAAAAGATAAACATTGCCAAACAGAGGAAAGACACTGCATGTCATTAAAGATATCTAGGGAGGAAGAATTGCGTGGACAAGAATTATGAGAAAAGGCCAGGAGTTAGATCAGAATGACCTATCACCTCACAGCCCTGAATTTTGGCATAATAACAAGCCACACCAGTGAAAAGACCAATTTTAAAACCAATTTCTCCCTTGCCCTTATGTGAGCCTTTGTGAGTCAGCCAATCTGGCAAATGAGCAGGGCAGCCTTTGGATAATCTTTAAAAAAAAAAACCTTGATACCATTGTTTAAGAGACCCTATCAGAGGCCAAACTAAGCATTCCCTATGGATTTATTTTAAAGAGAAGGCTGCCTAAGATTTTTCATTGAGAAAAAAGCCTGGATTATGAATACCTGCCTATCCACACTCCGGGTTTTTTTGTTTTTTTTTTTTTTTTTTGCACTTGTCTGGAAATTCTTTCCCTCATATAATTTTGTGGTGATATTTAAAAGATACGTTTGGTCTGAATTCTGATTGTTATTTTAGTATATTTAAAGTCTTGGTGGAAAAAAAAATAATGCATTTCAGGAATGCATTTTTACTTAATTCACAACTAAATGACTGAAAAGGCACGGTCAGTACACCACCTCCGTGACAGGAGTCACCTCGTTCCTTTTGTTTCTTTTCTGTGCCTAAAGCTGTCATTGGCCTTGTGGATGGTGGTCTGGTTTTGCTCTTACCTGAAACCAAAGGGAAAACTTTACCTGAGACTATTCATGATGCTGAAAATCTGCACAGGTATGGGCATGCGTCGTGACATTTCTTAAAGAGGACTATTTTCTGTTCAGAATTAGGAACCAAGGTTGCATGGTGATGCAGGCTGAATGTTTCTCTTACCCAGCTTCCCTAACCTCCTGAAAAACAGTGTCTCGGGAGACCAACTTTATGAAGACTCAATCATTGGTTTGGTTGTTGTGATAAAACTGGCCAGCTTCCTAGGAGAAAATATTCTAGCAATTTTAAACCATTTCCTGGATCGTTCTCTCCCTAAAGTGGGCCAAAATGCAAAGAGCTTCAATTAATCAGGGAAATCCGCCAACCATTTCCTAAATTATCTGTGAACAGCACAGCTCTCCTCAAAGCTTAAAAAATAACTTTCCAAGAGCTTCGTGCTTCAAAGGTCTTTTCCCACCTCTGAAAAACTTTCAGGCTTACATAGAAAAAAAACGCACTTATGGGCTCTCATCCAGGTCCTTGAAGTAGCCTAAAGCCTCATGCTGCCTGACTGGCCTAGCAGATAATATTGGCTGTTCATAACATTATTTTCTTTAGCATCCTAAGACACCCACACCGATCTGAAGGAGCACAGGGAACTTTCAGGAAGTTTTCTTGGGGTAGATGTCCTATTGGAGTCCCCGTCTGAGGCCCACGTCTTCCCACTTTGACAGCTTACCACAGCAAATTCACATTTTCCCTAATGTTCTATGAGATGGCTGACATTGGGACAGCTTGATAAATTTAAAATAGTCCTTCTTTTCCAATCATTAGTGTGAAAGCCTGAAAAAAGTTGGGGTCATGCAATTATAAAGGATCTAAAAGACTTCTTCCACAACATTTTCAGCTTACGCAGAGCCACAGTTCTTTTTTTTTTTCAAGAATAAATTGCCCAATGAGCTTATGATAATATACTTAAGAATTTGGATGAAATGGCTATGATTATCAGTTTGATTTATTTTATTTGTTCCCATTCATCTCTTGGTTCCTTTCCATAGACCAGGGAGGCCCAAAGAAAAAATGATTTATCTTCATGTGCAGAACTCAGATGTGTCAACTTACTGAAGAACAACTGTGTTCCCCACAAGTTTCCATGGATGCGTAAGGAGAGAAAAGCAAAAGGGTGGATACAAGCACAACTCTTCAGTTTTCTCAGAAATGTTTAAACATTCAATATCTTCTGCTTTCTGTCTCCACTAAGACTGTCATACATTCCAGGGAATTCTGTGGTCCTGGTAAACATTTTAAAGCTTTCCCCTCCAGTTATGTAATCTGGCTTGAATTTCTCGGATTGGAGAAACTGGGCTAGAGACGGTGCTCATTAATAGCCTAAAATGCAACATGTAAATTATGTCTTTATATATAAGCCCCATTGAGTCTAATAGGCCATATGACTTTGTTGATAAAACTGCAGACTTAAGGAACCATACGTGGAAGGAGTCACTCAAATGGAAATATAACATAAAATATGATAGAGAAATTGACATTGTTTGAAAGCTTGATTTCAATCTGTTCCTATTTTTTCCCTTAAGCTTGTTCTGTTTCATTTATCCGCTGATGTTTTCTGTTTCTCACACACAAATGTATCTGCATTTTCATGAACATTTCTTTCAAATACACAATACTGTTAGCAAGGTTCCTAATATTCAGATCTCTGTTAGAACTTTTCAGAAAGAACCAGCATTCTGGGCCAGGGATGTCCCTTGGCTTAGGAAAGATAAACTAGAGGACACTAACCAAATAGTAATGCATAGTCCCAAAACATCCACCAGAGTTTCATTTTATTCTGCTTATAGGTAGTCTTCATTTAGCAATCAAAATTGGGGCTGATGATTCAATCGTGCAGCAAAATAACCACTAAGTAAAACTGCAATTGTGCTTATGATCTTACTTCAAATTTCCTTTGATGTACAAGGTCATAAATACAAGGACCAACCATAAAGTTACTTTTTCATCACCGTCATAACTACAAACTGTTGTTCAACAAGGCAGTTGCTAAACAAGGAGTACTTGTAGTTAATCATGTGATCCTCTGTCCCACTAAACATTATCATTTGATAATAGCTTTTGGGAGCCTCCAGAGAAGGGCAGTACTCAAGATTTCAGGAGCAATCTGGGGCTCAGGATCCTTAACCTAAGTGCACCCTGTGAGTGGACGGTCCCTTTTGCAACCCGGAGATCTTTCTGTCTATGACTGGCAAAACCGACTCTTTACAATCAATTTTGAGGGAGAGGCGACAATTTAGTATACATTTGAAAATATGCTTAACCGTTGTTTCAAAAAGACAAGAAGAAATGAGACTCTAGAAAGAGTACAGAGAAGAGCAACAAAGATGATTAGGGGACTTGAGGCTAAAACATATAAGAAACGGTTGCTGGAATTGAGTATGTCTAGTTTAATGAAGAGAAGGATGAGGGGGGACATGATAGCAATGTTCCTGTCATGTGTCTGACTAATGAAACACTTCAAAGAACTTTCAGGCATGGTTTAACCTAAAAAGCCTTTATTAGTGTAGAGGAATGTCAGCACGGCATGGAGAATGCCAAGATCTGAATTTCTCTTTCTTTGAACATAACACTCCAGGCATTTCCCCTCCCCTATTTTGGGGTCATGATTCACATCTTCCAATTAACCTGGAGGGCAAAGATTCACTTCCCTTCCCTTCCTTTCCACGGGCTTTTCTCTACTCTCATTCTCATCTGAATTCATTCTAAAAGTACCAGACAGTTCTGTATATTTTGTCAAAGCAAGAATATTCAATATTAGCTGAGTTGACAGTTCCAATATTTGAGAGGCTGCCACAAGGAAGAGGGGGTCAAGCTATTCTCCAAAGCACCTGAAGGCAGGACAAGAAGCGATGGATGGAAACTAATCAAGGAGAGAAGCAACCTAGAACTAAGGAGAAATTTCCTGACATTTAGAACAATTAATCAGTGGAACAGCTTGCCTCCAAAAGTTGTGGGTGCTCCATTACTGGAGGTTTTCAAGAAGAGATTGCACAGCTATTTGTCTGACATGGTATAGGCTCTCCTGCTTGGGCAGGGAGTTGGACTAGATAGAAGATCTTCAAGGTCCCTTCCAACTCTCTTATTCTGTTAAATTAGAGAAACAGCAGACGACCTATCGCCCCTCATGTAAATAAGGCAGTTTTGACCAATTTGCCTCTGGCCAATTTGCCCAATCTATTCTGGCTCTAAAATTTCTCTTCCCCAAGTGTTAAGTGCAAGTTTCAAACACCTGTGCTTTAGAAAATGTACTGATTCACTCTTTTCTTCCTAACTTTGACTGCAACCTGACAAAGTTGAGAATCTTGAAGATTATGCAAAAAACTAAGGTGACCAACCGTCCTCCTTTAGGGAGGACAGTCCTCCTTTTGTGAGTTCTGTCCTCCCTCGAAAAGTGTCCTCCTACATGTCCTCCTTTTCGATATTTGAAGACTAATCTGCAGGGCTTTTTTTTCTCATAAAACACTCAGAACAACCTTTTTTTGATGATTTTTTTTTTCAACTTTTGCATGAGCTGTGCTACTCCCGCTATTGGCTTTCAAAAGCCAATAGGAATTGCTGCTGAGCGCGCCAAAACACCCGGCCGGCAAACTTTGCACGTGCAAGTTGTCTGTATTATTGTTGCAATGAATAAAATGTTTCTTTTATTTACGATATTTTTTTCTTCAATTTATTTGTGTCCTCCTTTTCATTGTAAAAAAGTTGGTCACCTTAAAAAACCACACACAAAACATATCTTCATAGAGCTCAATTTCGTATCCAGAGACACACACACATATCGCTGCTGGACTGATATGTGCAGTCTTTCATTCTTTTCACCTCCCACTTCTGGAGATGATTTTGGGTGGATTTTTTTCTCTCAGTAAAATTGGACACTAGGATAGAAATGTTACATAAATGATGTGCTGGGGGAGATGCACTGAGAGGAATCCAATTGCTTTCTCCTATTGGGAAGATCTATAAACATAAGCATGTTTATGTTGTGCAGAGAACAGCTTATGGTGATTGGGGATGCTTTTCCCTCTTTTCCAAGTACCCCTGAGACAAGCATCTTGCTCAGGGGCTACTAGTCTAAGCTTGGAAATAGCAATTGTAGGGGCAGAGGGTAAATGCTTTCTTTTAAAAAGGCAGAAATCTCGTGGTTATTTCATATTAAAACCAAAGACTATCATCTGAAATCCAGAGAATTGGCTGGATCACCAGAAAGGAGATGAATGATTCTCTGAAAGGGGGGGGGGAGTGAATATGCAATCCAGAACTTAAATGTATTGAGGGGATAAATAAAAGATTATTAAAACCCTGAGCTTATGAAGTAGAACTAGTTCCTGTTTTAACATAATTGCGGATCTCGAATCCAAGGAGTTGATTCCCCAACCTCACTGCAGAGATCTTACTAACTCTAATGCAGTTCCCTTAATTAAACCTACTGCTGATTTTTCTATCAGTAAGGAGATTCTAAGAGGAGATTTCCCATCTTCCCACCTTACCCAATAAGAAAAAAATATCCAACTTCTTGAATAGACAAGAACAACTTTACTATTGGCAATAGAAAAGCAATAAGCATACAGATATACAGACAGTATCAAACAGGTATAGGATTAATTTTAAGCAGGGGGTTGGACTAGATGACCTCCAAGGTCCCATCCAACTTTATTATTACTAATAATGATTATAACAACAACAATAAAAATAAGGTACTGAGTTCAATGGGGTGATTTTCCATATGTCCCACAGAGGAGCTTGTTCAGAGCCAGCAGTTCCTACATCTGTACAGTACATCAGGGTGTCAAATTGCCAGTCCATGGGCTGGATGCGTCATGCCGAAACCGCGCCCACCCCAGCTCCAGCAATGGGGAAAAAGTTGTGATATGTGGCGACACGTCACGTGACGTGACGAGTTTGACACCCCTACACATATATACTCAGCAGTTGCCTTTAGCATGCAGCACATCCAAGGCACAGTGCATATTTAAACAATCTAACTCTCCCTCCTACTTCATAAAATGCCCAAAGAGTTGTCTCTGCAAAAATCTCATGGAGCAGTTCTCCCATTCTCTTCTAGGCTGCTTAATCTCCCCAATTAATCAGTGGAACAGCTTGCCTTCAGAGGACGTGAGTGCTCCATCACTGGGAGTTTTTAAGAAGAGATTGGACAAGCATTGGTCCGGAATGGTATAGGGTCTCCTGCTTGAATGTGGGGGTTGGACTAGAAGACCTCCAAGGTCCCTTCCAATTCTCTTATTCTGTAAATTTCTTCCTGCCTGGCCCATCTGAATCCTATCTGTTGTTCCTTTTGGTCCTCCAAGCTATTGTCCTCCCACAGCTGATTGATCTGCTGTGCAGGTTTCCCAACAGTGAAAAGGTCAGATGCCTCTGTCCATTTGCACTGGCCAAGCTGATACTATGTTTGTGAATCTTTGCACCCCCAGCACTACTCTACCCTTGTTGGTTGCATGAGTGGAACCCTGCTAGACAAAAACCCTCCTTTAATTCTCATCTAATCATGGAGGGTCTCTTTTTGTCCTACCTTCAGACTTTGCTCATATTCCTTTTAGCTGTTTATGTTACCTTTTCTCCTTTTTCCTTAACTAATATTCTATTTCTTTCTTTTTCCATCCTTGATTCACCCAGTTTTGAGAATCTATGTTGTTTGGGCATCTACAGTTTTTGTTTTTTTCCTATCTCTTCTGGATTTTGTTTCTCTTTCTCCATTCTTTGGGATAAACCTTCATTTCTTTCTAGACATCTCCATTATTGACTTCCTAATTCAAAGCTATCCAGTGAGAAGCCTTTTACTGCTTCTCTTAATCTCTGTTTATCTTAGCATCTCCAAGAGTGATCATTCCTCTACATTTGACTCCTTCCAGAACCAAAACACCCATATTAATTTCCTTATTTACTTACTTCCTTACCTGACAAACTCTTGCCACTTTGCACCAATTTAAAACCCTTTGGCTATTTTTCAACTCTGCTTTAACCAACAGGATAATATAGACATTTCCATTTATTTATGTATTGATCTCTTTTCCCTGCACAAGGATGTTTATCTTGTTTCTGGGCACTACAACGAACCTCCCAAAAATTCACAGTGTATGCATATACATAGAAAACTAAATGAAGTCACAAAAATTAAAATAAAAAGTGTTCTAACATATCTAGAACGTCCAGTCATAAATACAATGTTTAAATATCAGGTAAAAAGTATTATTTTCACTGCCCTCTTATTTTTATTGTTTACATGCTGCAAATATTATATTGACCATGTTCATCAGTTTAACACAGGCACCCATGAAAGAAGCAAGTGTGGTGTGTCTGTGTGTGTATAAAATACCTGTCCAAATGAAAGACTGTATAATGTAAAAAAATTATTAGTTAGTGATTAGATATGGACTTTTTATGGACAATAGCTAAGTACACACAATTCAAAGAGAATTAAACTTGAATTTGCTTCAAGATTGACTGTTTAATGCAGGTTTGTGGAAGTTTTCTATGTCATCAATGGTCTCGGGCAAGGTGCTTCCTTTGGTCTCAGGCAAAAGCAGCACTGATCCAGCAGCTATCAACCCTATGACAGCTACGAATAAAACATAACAAAAAACATCAGAAACTGAGTTATGACATATTGTCAAGATGGACACACAATCGTTTTATTTTGGACCTTTTACTTTTGCTGCAACAATATTATCTGTATTAAAAATTGGGATTCTTAACCTTGTCGTGCCATGGGTCCCTTTGAAAGTCTGGTGACCTAGCTTGAACATCTGACATTTCTTTTTTTTCACGTACAGCTCTAATTTGTGTTGAATGATCCTAATCAATATTTTGCTAGCATGTGAAATTAAGGATATTGCATGATTGTTTGCACCCTCCATTAAGTCTTCTTTTGGGTATTGGAATGTAGATTGACCTCTTCCAGTCTGTTGGCTACTGTGTTGTTCTCAAGATTTGCTGGCATAGATTGGTTAGAACTTTTACAGATTCTTCTTCTATTGCTTGCTATATTTCAGCGTGTATTCCATGATTTCCTATAGCTTTCTGAATTGGTAATGACCAGAATGCTAATCTCTAAGTTCACCTTCTAGGACTAGAGATTCTTGTAAATAGGGAATAGCTTTTAGGGTATCTTGAATATTGATGTCTATACTGCACTGTGCTTCAGTAAACTCCTTCCCTCTTTGATCTTCTTTAAATTGCTTACAACAATGGTTCTCAACTTTTTCATCACCATGCATCCCCTTTAAAAACCTCTTGTGGCCACAGACCATGGCCACGGACCCCCAAGACCTAACTCAAAATTTAAATCATAACATTTTTTCAAGCCTTTGCGGACCCCTTGTGACAACATCATGGCCCTTCAGTGGTCCATGGACCACAGGTTGAGAACCACTGGCCTACAATAAATCCATTGGAATCAATTCATTCAATACAAGGTTGGAACTAGTTCAAGTATCTTTTTTTTTCCATGTCTGTTTCCATCCTCCTTCCATTCCATCCCAAATTGGTAATGACCAGAGTGCTGATCTAATGTCATATTCTGGTACTTGAGGTTCCTATAAGTAGATAATATCTTGGCATCTGTACCTGGGATGTTAAGTAACAGCTTTCTGATATATTTTATTAAGTTCCTTTCTGAGATTTTTCTCTTACTTGGTTTTGATTTCTCTTCTCTTCTTGGCAATTTCCATACCTTGTTCTATTCAGTTTCCTTTCTTCTCCTCACTTTTGGCAATCTCTTAATGACTTCTTTAAGTTCATTCCACAGTTCTTTTGGTTCTCTATCAATGAATTCAGGACTTCAAAATGACTCCTGATGTTCTCCTTGAAAATAGTTGGTATATGTTCAAGATCATATCATGGAAACTGACTGGCTTTCTTCTTCTTTGCACAGGAGCAGTTTGCGATCTGTTCCACAGTAAGCACCTGGCGAAGTCTTGATGCCATAAATCAGCGGTTCTCAATCTATGGGTCGTGACCCCATTTAGGGTCGATCGACCATTTCTCGGGGGTCGCCAAACAAGACGATCCGCCATTTTTCCCCCTCGGGGGGGCGCCACACATGCGTGCTGCGCATGGGGGCGGCGCCGCGCAAGGGGGCGCCGCTGCGCATGCGCGGCACGTTTGTGTGGCGGGGGTCGCCGTCACACAAACGTTGAGAAGCACTGCCATAAATGAACTCCTCCATTACCTTTTAGTTAATTTCATTTCTATATACTCCATCTGGAAGTGTCCATGCATGAAGACGTTCTGATTATTTAAAGACCGTGTTAGCTATGTCTTTGGAATGACAGAAATTGATAAAATGGTCTTCTGCTTTATTTTGGTTTCCTAAACCACATAATCCAACTATATTTTCCTCTTGAGTCTTGGTGGCGCGGTGGTTAGAGTGCAGTACTGCAGGTTACTTCTGCTGACTGCCCGCTGACTGCACTTTGGCAGTTTGAATCTCACTGGCTCAGGGTTGACTCAGCCTTCCATCCTTCCGAGGTTGGTAAACTAAGGACTCATATTGTTGGGGGCAATAGGCTGACTCTGTAAATTGCTTAGAAAGGGCTGTAAAGCACCCTTATATAAGTCTAAGTGCTATTGCTATTTTGTCTTTCCAACTTTGGAAACTTTGGCTTTCCAATCTTAATCACAAGCAGCATATCTTGCCTGTCAATTTATTGTATGATACAGATCTAGACAGACCTAAGTCCAGTTAGGTTCAATAGGACTGAATCCCTGGGTGACTACAAAAGTGCATGATTGAATATTAATGAGCTGCAGCTGCCACAGATAGAATAGTACTTACTGAAGACTACAAGAGGTAGTTCATGCCAGATCTCTGCCAATCTGTAGACTATAAATGGGGATATGATTCCACCAAAATCGCACAAGGAAGAACATACCATCAAGCCAAGGTTTCTGAAAGATAAACAGACAGAAAGATCAGATCGAGACACTTCAATGCTATACATACAAACATACTAACAAAAGAAATGAATACATGAGAAATTGTCTTATTAGAAAGCCAAGAGCCAAACCTTAATATTGTTTTTATTCCCTGGAATACCTCAGAGCTCCAGATAAGCCTATGAGTTTGGTGAGTGATTGCAACCCAGTCAGTTGTCTAAAAAGACACTTACTGAGCCTTTCAGATTCCTCTTTAATATACAACCTTCATAACGGGGTCAGAAGAGGGCACAGATGGATTAAAGAAAAATAATTACAAGCTGAACAGATGCAAACTCTTCCCTACTGAATTCATATATCCTGCAAAAGCCATGATGGGATTCAAATATGTGAACAACCGGTTCTCTGTGTGGATGCCATTTCTGGAAGTCCATTCTGGGCCTGGGCAACAAAAAATTAGCTCCCGTTTCTATCAAACTGGTGCGAACTGGCTGAATCTCACTACTGTGCAAAAGGTCTGGGGGAGATTTGATTTTAAGATCACCTGATTCTCTGAATAATGAGAAGTCCACCATAAAGGTGCATGAGACATTCTTTTCAAATTTTAAAAAATTAAAACTTTAGCAATGTTTTCATTTTTTTCCCCCTTCTTTCCAGAAAAGAGGTTCAAATTTAAAGGGACTGAAAGCAGGAGAAAGGAAGCTAACAGATTTGTTTCAGACGTTAGATGCTTAACTCTTAAAGGCTGAAGTTCAAGTCCTATTTATTGTCCTGAAATAAAGCCTTTCACAAGCTATTTCTATGTGATCACTTCCATGCTGGAAACAGCTGTCACTGATTAAGCCTGTCTAGCACATAAAAGTTAAAACCCTTTTTGATTTATTTTTATAAGAAATTAATTTCTTTCTGAACAGAATGGAAAGAAATGTCATTAAAAATCAGCCGTGAGGGAATGCAAAAGTGGCAGACCTCTCTAGCTTGAGGTTTATGCTGATTTTTTTGTTTTTAATAGAAACATCCAGGACAACTGCAGACCTGATATCTTAGACTTATTTACAAATATGGATAAAAATCAGGGAGGAAACAGATTCATGAAGAAGGCAGCACTGTCAGCTGATGTGCTTCAGGTTCTCCAGGCCATCCCTTGGAGTGACTGTTAGACTCCCTTCTATGGCATTCCAGTTCAAAACTGTCATTTGCTTATTTCCCTCTTGGTGAGACCAAAGTTCCTCTCTTAAATATGGTGACGGCCACCATCTCATCACCTGTACTGAACAAAGATTCCCTTAGTTGGCTTTTACTCAAGGAAAAGGAGACGCCATTGGTCTTGTCCTGCCTTATCTCCAAAGTTTCTCCACTTTGACTTGCCATGCTAATTCTATTTTCAGTGTTAATTTTGAGGGATAGCACCTCGAAACTGGTGAGAATTGAGTAATCAAAGATATAGACTTTCTAGATTAAGCCATTCTTTGAAGCAGTACCTACCTAAGAAATGTTGGGTACAATTCGGCATTGACAAAGCAGACCATTTCGAAAGCCATAGTGATTCCCAACCTGCCAAAGGAACCTGCAAGAATCTTTAACCAGTGCATATCTGAAAAGAAAACATGTTTACACAATTTATCCAAAATAATTTATTGGAGGAAGATGATTAATACTGGTAATAAAATAGATAGTCCTCATTTTGCAACCACAGTGGGGATTGGGACAACTCAGAAACAGTCGCTAAGTAAAAAAATCACATGACCAAACTGTGCTCAAAATTTTACTTCAGCTTTCCTTTGCTTCACTACAGATATGTCAAACTCGCAACGTCACGTGACGTCACGTGACGTCGCATGACGTATCAGGACTTTTTCCCCATTGGCGGCAATGGGGTGGGCATGGTTTTGGCGTAACGCATCCGGCCCATGGGCCGGCAGTTTGACATGCCTGCTTTACTGCATCAGCTCTAAATAATCAGGTGACGCTAAATGGTGGGGTAGGCTCCTGGAACTCAATTCATAAAGGAGCTGGGTAAAAGGGCAAATCTTATACCCCCTTTACCCAATTCTCCAACCCTTTAGAATGCTCACCGGGCACTGGGATAATTAGCCAGAAGAGAATTAATGTTTGTATTTACATTCATTGGAGAGGAAGGATCACAAAAGAGTATGCAAGCACACAATGGGGAATATAAATCTAAAGCAGGGATATCAAACTACTGGCCCACGGGTCAGATGCGTCATGCTGAAACCGCTCCCACCTCAGCTCTGGCAATGGGGAAAAAGTCGCGATACGTCACAACACGTCACGTGACATTGTGAGTTTGATACCCCTGATCAAAAGGAATGGGGCTTACAGTTGAAAGCAGAGAGTTTTTAGGAGGCAAACAAAAACTTTAGCATGAAATTAATTAGAATCTTAATCACTGTCAGGTGGCAATGAAAGCCTGCAGAAGAGTTGTAATCAATTAATTAAAGTCACAGAGATGAGCATGTTAACTTGCCTTAACATGCTAATCTCTGAGCATGGGGATGCAGCAATAAATACAGTAGGGAGGGAATAAATGTCCCATTTCAAATTATGTCCTTTTTGCACATGTCACTATCCATCTCTGAATTCAGCTACTTAGAAAACCCATTTAAATATGTCCTTGTTAATTATTTAATGGTATGCATAAGTATGTCTGTTCAAAATACATTTCAAAAAGCTATTAGATATTCTTTTGCACTAAATGTGAAATCCACCAAATACTTTCATTCTGACTACTATATTAGGTTTGATGAAGTGGTTCCAGTGGTGGGATTCAGCCAGTTCGCACCACTTCAGCAGAATCAGTTGCTAATTTTTTTCTTGCCCAGGCCCAGAATGGACTTCTGGAAGTGGCATCCACACAGAGAACCGGTTGTTCAGATATTTGAATCCCACCACTGACTGAGCAGTTCAGTCTATTTCTATCAGAGTTCAGAAAACCTGAATCCCTCAAACCTTTCTATTCATTATCATGATCATCCTTATGGTTAACATCTTCATCACAACCACAATGATCATCATTTTATCCATATTGCGGATAGTTCTTTCTTTTATCAAGCAAGTGTGCCGTGACCTTTCAACATCTTGGGTTGTTTCTCTTTATGTCCCTGCAGAAAGGCTGCTTGTGACCATAATTTATTTTATTTTATTTTTAAAATTTATAAGCCGCCCCACTCCCGGAGGACTCTGGGCGGCTAACAATAAAAACACATAAAACATAACAAAACAAACAGTACAAGAACAGTCATCCAGGGGTCAGATTTTATAAACCCCAGGCCTGCCGGAAAAGCCAGGTCTTAAGCAACTTACAGAAAACCAACAGGGTGGGAGTGGTCCTAATCTCCGGGGGGAGCTGGTTCCAAGACGTGGGTGCCATCACAGAGAAAGCCCTCCTCCGCGGCCCCGCCAAATGGCACTGCTTGGCCGACGGGACCTGAAGGAGGCCCAGCCTATGGGATCTAACCGGATGAAGGGAACTATGAGGTAGTAGGCGGTCCCGCAAATAGCCTGGCCCCGAGCCATATAGGGCTTAAAGGTAATAACCAACACCTTGAATTGGACCCGGAGACCAATAGGCAACCAGTGCAGTTCACGGAGGACAGGTGTAATGTGGGTGTATTAAGGAGCCCCCACTATCACTCGTGCGGCTGCATTCTGGACCAACTGTAGTCTCCGAACACTTTTCAAGGGTAGCCCCATGTAGAGCGCGTTGCAGTAGTCCAGATTTGGCTAAAGTAGATTCTTGCAGCCTTTTCCTCCAGGCTGCCTTTGGTCAGGGCAATTAAAAAAGATAGACAGACCTTATCTACTTACCTTCTGGGCTGAAAGCTGTAATAAGGCAAGCAATTCCAGCCACCAGATTAGATGCTGCCCAGGGATAACGACGACCCACACGCTCTATGGTGACGATGAGGATGAAAGCAGCTGGAAATTCAACAAGGGTGGCATAGAAAAAATCCAGGTAAACATTTCCACCAGCAACTCCTATATGCATAATAAGTCCTTGGTACATTATGGCACTTGTGAACCTAAGAAAAGAGAAGGAACAACAATTAATTGGGGAATAGATGTATTGGCTAGCAAGTCTTGAAAGAATCAGTGCTCCAGATTTCACATGTCAATCCCACATTATATTACTAATATAAGCATGATCTGGTGCATGATCAAGTTTTGTTAGTAGAAGCTTTTTTGTCTTCTGGGATTTTGACTGTTAACAAGAGTTTGGTTCTCCGTGTGGGCATGTATATTCCTTAGATATGCATCCATATTTCTTCCATTAGAAGAGAATATATGCAGAGTCCTCGATGCCCTGGTGATGTTACCTAGTTGGGTAATTAATCTGCAAGCAAATAACCAAGCTCAGAGAGCATCAAGGACTCCATGATTCTTTTCTCCTTCTGGAATTTCCTGCCATTAACTGATGAGTAGCAGCGGGAATGGAATTTAAAAAAAGTAATTAGGCAACAGAAGCTTGTTGGAAAACAGGGAGTTGTTTTTCTATTATTGCAACCCCACAACCCTAAGACATCCACAATTTATATGAATGAGGAATGCACTGACTACTCCCATCTCCTCATAGCTTGCTTCCTTTTCTTATTTATGGAGCTGTCTCCCTCCAAAATAAAAATCAATCAATCAATGAACAATAGAAAAGCCTGAAATATCTTCTCAAACATTCTACCATTTATGCTGAAGTTGTCAATTTAAATCCCATCTAATCTGGGCTGGCATTGGGTTTCTCCAGTCCTAAGTCAACACTTTGCCATGCTAGCTCTGAACATGGAAACTGGAAACTGAGTAGAGAATTGGGTGGTCTGGGGTAATCCAAATTCTTATAATCTGTTTGCCCTCTCCTCAGTCTCCATGCACTCAGCAGGTAGATCTGAAAGTATAATTATATTCACTAGTATATGAGTACAGTTCTCAATGTGAGCCTGATAGAATCTGCTGTATCAGGATCCCAGATTATAGAGAGAGCTGTACTTGCATTTGCATGAATCTCAGTATAAATTTTGCTTTGGGCCTCTTTGCTCAGTGCAATGTAGTTGAGAACAGTAAGAGGCAGAATGGCCTGATGTGAAGTAGATCAGACAGGAAGCATAGCTACAGAAGCTAATTCTCCTTTATTGTAAAGTTTCAGTAACAGAACCTTGCAAGTCTAAAATTACATTTCTCCCCTTATCCCCTTTAGAGCTGAAGAAACTACAGAGGATCCCTTCTGAGATATTTGCCACATTTACATTCCTGCTGTGGCTAAGCTGCCACTTATCCAACCATTGCCCTGGTTGTGGCCTCCTGTCTCCCAAGATCCTATATATCAAGATCCTATATATATTACAGCCAGCAAACACAAAGTATGGTGCAGGCCTCAGGTTAGAAGCCAGGAGATTATGAATTCTAGTTCCACCTTAGATATGAAGCCAGGGATGGCTTTGGGTCAGTCTTTCTCTCTCATCCCTAGAGGGGAGGCAAAGGCAAACCACTTCTGCAATCTTGCCAGGAAGACTGCAGGGACTTGTCCAGACAGTCACCAGGAATCAAAACTGTCTCAAAGGAACCAAAATAATAATAATAATAATAATAATAATAATAATAATAATAATAATAATAATAATCCATGACAATATCCAACCTCAAGCTATAATGTGTTCAGGGCAATACAATTCCAACGTATTCAGAAGACTCAGTATGAAAAAAAGAACTGTCTTGAGCACGCATGCCAGAAGTGACACTTGGAGCCCTCTCTGTGGGCACGCAAGCCATTGCCCCAGCCCTGCCTCCCCCTGCAACCCCCTCCTCACCAGCAGCCTGCCTGGAGGAAAGTCTCCTCCAGGCACGGCCCATGTGGAGCAGCGTAGCCAAGCACATGGCAGCCGGGCAGCAGGGGCAAGACTCCACCCTCGTGCCCCATCACGTGCAGATGATGCTATGGGGTTCAGGTGCAGGGCATGGCCACCATGGCGCTGCAAAGCTGCCTGGACAATCTATGGTGAGTGGTCCTGCGGGGGGCAGAGTGGGGGGCAGAGCAGGGGTAGGCTGGGGGGGCATGGTGTTTTTTGGGTACTCAGTCTCTAAAAGGTTTGCCATCACTGTTATAGGATGATGATAATGGTGGTGGTGGTGGTGATGATAATGATGATGATGATATCCATTTAGCCATGTACAACTCTTGCAGTGGGCCAGGTCTCTCCACATCTTCCAATCTTGCACTATTTCTTTGAGTTTTTCTATGCTCTATTCAGTGGTAGGCAACCGTGGCTCTTTTATGACTCGTGGACTTCAATTCCCAGAATTCCTGAGTCAGCCATACTGATTCAGGAATTCTAGGAGTTGAAGTCCACGAGTCATAAAAGTGCTAAAGTTGCCTACCTCTGCTCTAGTTGATGTCAGCTTTGATGGTGTCTAGACACTGTGTTCTTTGCTGGCCTGGTTTCCTTTTACCACTAATAATGTTATAGGAATGTGGACCCAATTTTTTAATGAACAGAGGAGTTTGAGTTTCAGGCAAAATATGAACTCTAATCAAGGGTTTACCTGACCCTCAGTTGCACATAAAATTGTAACATATTAAGATTGTGTGTGTACCAATAGAGCCAACATAGCTAAGGCAAACAAGGATTTGATGAAATGCATGAAATAAATGGCCTCTTACCAGTTATACATCAAAATTAATGTGTATTTCCTGATCTGTGGTGTCCTCACAAGGTCCAGCAGTGAAGGGCTAAGGTTTGTGTCTTCTACCTGTTCTTCTTCGAGATTAATATTCTATAAGGTAATTATTGCAAAATAAATAAAAAGGCAAGGAACATAAATACATACTTATCCATCACATTGTTTTTGTTCAGGATAAATGTTATGCTGAAAACAGAAATGGAGTAAGAAATGTAAGGTACAAGATAAGAAAAAGTTAATCTAAAAAGCTAAAAGAAAAAGTTAAAGCTAATTAACACCAAGACCAACATCTTCTCTATTTGAGGACTATATTCATTCCACTCAACCACATCTTTCTTAGGCTTCCTCTGTTTCTCTATCCATTCACTCTGATCAGGGCAATCTGCATTGACCAAATATGACATCAAAATTGCAGGTGACCAGGCAATCAAAGTCCTTTTCTAGCATGTATCACAGGGATTTTCAAACTCGGCCCTTTTATGACTCATGGACTTCAATTCCCAGAATTCTTCAATCAGGCATGCTGGCTGAAGAATTCTGGGAGTTGAAGTCCATGAGTCATAAAAGGGCCAAGTTTGAAGACCCCTGATGTATCAAATGCATCACATGTAAAAGGGGTAAAGCTTCCACAACCACCATTTAGATGCTAGTGACAGCATCTGCAGATGCACCTGACTTTTTTTTTTTTTTTTTTTTGCAAATTTAACCCTTTTTCATTCTTTTTCTATGGCCAACTCTACTTCATTCAAACTTTTCACTCACTTTCCTTCTCAATCTACATTCATTCATACTTTTACATCCTTGAGCCTGTAGTTTTTTCTCTTGCCATACGTATCTTTTAAAAAGGTGGCTTGGTGGTACATAATCAACCAATTATTTTTCAACATAGTCTGATGAATAATATTGATTTTTTGTGGATCTTCATTGTGAGAGTTTGTTTTCACAATGATAAAAAAAGTCTTATGGCCTGTTTGTAAGACTCTCAGTAGATGCAAACACATAGCCTCCTCCCTTTTACGCCAAAAACATGAGAAAATGACCCAGAACCATGCTGCTTATAATGCCTGAGTATAGTTTTTCTGTTTGAAATTCTTGTGTTGTAACCTCACCTTGCATCTAATAAATATCATTCATCAGAGTGAAGGGATTTTATTGTGTTTATGATTTTAGTATGTTTAAGTTTGACATTAGCATTTATTTTATATATAGTAACCATTTTATATTGATACTTATAGTGTTATCATGTAATCATTGTTTTGTTATTTTGTAATCATTATTTTGTAGTTAATTGCTTGATCAGATGCTATATATATATAGGAAAAGTAAAGGCTTCATGCTTTAGGTATAGGTATAGGTGATTGCTTATATGAAAAGAGCACAGTAAGGGGAGGGGGAAAGCAGTTACGGATGGAGCCTGGCTTGCTGTGTATGAGTCATCTAGGAATTATTTTTTTGTGCCATCTTATGCCTGGTACCAAGACCTGATCTCTTTGTTTTGAAAAGGTATAAAAGGTGGAAGACATCTTTTCTGGTTGTTGCCTTCATCTCTCTACCAGCCACAAAGAGAGATGGGGTCACCCAACTCTATTTTGATCAACATAAAAGTTGTTTGCTTGCTAAAACCTTTGGCTCAGGAGTTTCTTTGGCTCTTTTAAATTCCTGAGTAATGCTGTGGCAATTGTGAGGCTAAGTGGAAAACCTTACAAGAGCTTTGAGAGTTTTATTCTTTAGATTCACCATTTCCATTTTGGATAACTACAAGAGATGTCTGATGCCAACTCCCACTATAGTCAGCTTACTTTTTGCTGACATACTTTTATGTCTGTTTCATCAGATGACCATCTCCCTTTTCTGTTGTCTGATATTGTTCTATACCTTTGCTTTAAATTTTGTATGCTGCTCAGAGAAGTCAAAAAGTTAGGTTGTTTTAGATATGTAAGTAAATACATAAATAAATACGAAACTCCCATTTCTCTATAATACAGTGGAGAATGTTGAATTTAATAACAGCAGCAAGATTACTGGTGGGTCAATATTGGAAGAAGGATACTCTGCCTTCTTTAGAAGAATGGGTATTTAAGGTTTCTAATTTAGCAGAAATGGCTAAAATTTCTGCTTATTTAAAGGACCATTCACAAGAGAGATATTTTAACGTATGGAGAAGATGGATAGAATATGTTCAGAAGAAATATGGAACTACAAAGTTTCACTTATTCTATGAGTAATGATTTTGTTTATAAACTTATGATGTTAAAGTTTGAAGAGAGTTAAGGGTTTTTATGATTTTGTTCATTGTATAATTAGTAAACTTAAATAAATTATGTTTAATATGTTTGCATAATCCTGTATTTTGCTCTGGGAAGTCGGGGGGGTGGGGGGAGGGGGGTGGGGGTGGATGGGTTGAAGTTTAAGTAGTTCAGATAAAGTAGAAATAGTCTTATTGTATATAATATTAATGTTTTAATTTTGAGAGAGGAACTGCTCGGCATTTCCCCTGGACCGCATCAAGAGGGAGAAGAAGAAGGTGAGAAGTAAGTAGGAAGGTGGAGGTGAAGGAGGAGAGGGGGTGAGTGAAGAAAAAGAGGGAAAGAAGTAAGTTGGTTTGAGGTGGGATGCAGTTTGGGGGGAAATGGGTGGGCAAGACCGAATGTGGTGTGTATCAATTTGTTTTATTTTTTATCTGAAGTATTTGTAAGATTGTTATGTATTGTAAAATTGAAAATAAAAATTTTTACAAAAAAAAAAAAATACAGTGGAGAGAAACAAGCTCAGCAATGCAGCTTTTTAGCATCATTCAACCTTCATTCCTCAGAACCGACAACATGATATTCTACCAGTATTTGCGTGTCTTAAAATATTTCCCTGCATTTTCCATCTTTAGTTAACCTTTTTAACAAGATATATACATTCATCCATTTTTGGCTCTAGTTTTTTTGTCAAATTATATATGAATTGTAAGCATTCAGTCCATTTTCCCCATCAAAGACAACTTCTTTAGTTTTTGATACTTTTCAGATCCATTTACCTTGCTGTGTATCCAAGATGACAATTGTTTTCCATAAAACAGTGGCTAACAAGACTATTATTTGCATACAAAAATACATATACATTCACACGCCCAACCGATACATCTCTAATGTCCTCGCAAGTGTTCCTTATATCAGTGTTTCTCAAAGTGTGATTCAAGGACCTTTCTCAAGGGTCCACAAAATCAGTATTATTCACCCGACTATGTTGAAAAATAATTGGTTGATTATGTACCACCAAGCCACTTGCAATTCCCACCAATCACATAGATTTTCTCCATGATGATCTATCCTAACATGTTCTTTCAAGTCTCCTAATGAAAAATACAATATTAAAATCCCATCAAGCCATTGTGAGAAGCAAATGTGTTAATTTTAGTTTTAAATGTAGTAAATATTAATAATATAAATTATACAACGAAGGGTTTTTTGGGTCCTCCCTAATTAAGAAAGGAAGGAAGAAAGGAAGGAGAAAGAAAAAAGGAAGGAAGGAAGGAAGATCTAAATAAGCGACTTGCTTATTTTTCTTATCATCTTTGTGGCAGTTACAAACATAGTAATGTATTTATTTTTTATTTTATTATATTAAATTTATATGCCATCCATCCCCCTGTCCCAAGTGATTTTGATCAGCTTGCAATAGAATTACCATGTCCAGTTTCCTATTTCACTGACATTGCAATAATTATTGGATTATTTCTGTTTACCATAATTAGGAAGAGGTAATATATACTATGCCTATGAAATGTCCTATAATTCATGGTATATGCATCTTTCTGGCAGCCTGCATTCTGCTCTCTATCTCTCAGTTAAAGCCAGGAAAAGAAATCATGTGATAAGTTCTGTCCTTTCATTTCAGAAGGTCTGGGCAGCTGCAGAAGGATGGCGAATGGTGTAGTGCAAAATGTGTGGTACACACAATCCACCATCCATCCATTTGCTCAAACTCACCAGTGAAAGATTCAAATGCATCTAATGAGGCAGAGGTGGAAGAAAACCAAGAGTAGATTAATAGTCCACCAAGGAATGATAAATAGACATATATAGTGTTTAAAATTCACCTCAAAAAAAGCAGGTACAACTTTTCCATTTTTTTTAGCAATTTCCTTCACAATTTTCACAGCTCGGGCGTTCTGTCCTTGAGTAATCAGCCACCTGGGTGACTCAGGGAGGCACCTTAAAAAAAGAACTGGAATCATTGCTCTCCTCCAGAAATGCTCATCGCAAAAAATAAACCCATGGGGTGGGACTCAGACATCTCCTTTCTTCTACATGCATTAATTAATTGAGGCTTGTTGCACTTTAAAGAATTAACCAGTTTATTGTGGTATAAAGTGTCATGTGATACAACTAACATTATTCCATAAAAGGAATACATCCATATCTATGCTTATCGGGGCAGGTTAGACAGCAGTAACATAATTCAGAAGGAAATGGAGATATAGGAGAAGCAAGCAGTGAAATTACCTATTGTTCCTGGCTATTCACAAATCAATTGTTGGATACAACACATTACTTTATTCTTGTAGCGTGGTAAGGGGCCTTGGTTTCTGTTTACTTCTTGAGAAATAGATGACTATGAACACATGATCATGGCCAAGTAGTTACAGTCACCATCACCATTTTGACTCTTTTTACTTGCCCCATGGTTGCACCTTCACTCCTTTGTTCAAAGGTGACTTGTTTGAGGTCAGAGGCAAAACATCCTTTGAAGCTGGACTGGCCCCTTATTAGTGACAATACCTATTGCAGATTATGTTGCAGATAATCATCTTTTATGGCAATTTCAGCACACTTGCCTCTCAAAAAGGAGAGTGCTTTTATTACAACAAGCTCATTTCTAAATCTATCCTTGATCACTCCAGTTCTTAGGATATCTGGCGGCAACCATGATTTAGGCTAGACTGCCTTAATAGTTCAGTGTTTCATGAAAAACAGCTACTAAATGGAAATTATATGTAGGAATCATTTATTAGAAATGAGTAAATTATGGGCCTCCTGATGTTGTTAAATTAGAGCTTCCACAATCCTTCACAATTGCCATGGTGGGCAGGGCTGCTGGATGTTGTAATCTAACATCACCCAGAGATTAAGCAAAAGACTGACTCTGAGCAAGAAGTTCTTACCAGTAGTAGAGTAAGAGAAGGAACATTGGAAGAGTAACAGCAAGTTGAAGCCACCTCCAGTTGGGAATTGCATAAGCCAAAGCATTAAGGATGAGAAGGCCAAAACCATACGCTAGTTGATAGAGAATGGCCACAGTCCTCCTGTAGCTTGGGCCAACAATTTCTGTGACTGGAAAATAAAATTAGGGCTTTCCATATTAATTCTCAATTGAGAAATAGCTTATTCATAGACTTTGATTAGGAAGAATGCTTGTAAACAAAAGAAACAGTGGAGAACACACTTGTTTCAAACAATGAAAAACTAATAGGGGAAATCAATTTTGAAACTGCATAGAAGTGATATATATGCTGTCAATATCTATCATCTCTTTGACCTCTCAATGGCTTTTAATAGCATTAATCATGACATCCTCCTGGACTGTTTCTCTGGGTCAGATGTAGGAGCACAGAGCTGTAATGTTTTTGCTATTTATTTATTTAATTTGTGGCTGCCCACCTCACCATGATTGCATGGAATGTCTCAGAAAATAGAGCTGTAGCTTTTTTCTTATCCCATGGTTTTTTATTCATGAGGTACCTCTAGATTAATTCTTATTGCAACATTTAGATGAAATTAATGGAGGAAATCATCCAGAGATCTGGGCAGAAAAACTAAGAAAGCAAACCTAAAAAAGCATATTAAACTTACAAATGAACCTATTCAGTTCATTGGTTTAAATCCATATAGTTGCAACAAGAGATGCATTAAAGGTATTTGTACTCTATTTGAGCCTTTGCTCATCTGTAGCTAATTGCAACATAAAGATAACCCAGCAACATCTTTGAGGTAGCTTTAACTCTTCTTTGGCTATTTTGGTTTTGAAGTGCTGTTTTCTCTTTTTTTTCTCAAACAACTTTTTTTAATGTGGATATATTCTGGCATGCTTTACCAACTATTCTGTACCTTATGAGATCAGATTGACTCCCGGGAACTAGGACCCAATCTCCTATTGGCTGCTTCAGGCTGGTATGGGCACACAACCTCACTTATAATTCCTGGAGACTGTTCTTTAGGGAAATTCTTGTTTGGACAGTTGGAAACTTTTTGTTTGTTTGTTTGTTTGTTTGTCTTTTAAATGATCTCTCTCTCTATGCCTGCCAAATCTCCAAGACAATTCCTGACTTGAAGAATTGCAAGCTGACCAGCAGTAGGAAGAGAGAAAGGGGATGATTCTTCCTTTATCATTCCTCACACCATTTTTCCCATGTCTGCCAATTCATTGCTTTTGAACCCAGGTTTAGTGCTTTTCCAGACACCCAGATGTTAACTGGTAGTCAAGCTTCTTTTTCATATGAGTTTATGCACTTCTGGAACAGTACTACTGTTCAGCACTTTTTGAACCCTGGATTAGCACTTTTTGAGATACTCATACAAAACAGAAATTATCTCTTTTTATCCCATCTCCCCATCTTTTATTAAGAAGCACGTTTATTAAGAAGTATGTTTCTCCCCCAGATGATAATGTTTGGTGACAAAGGAAAGGAAGGAAACAAGCCTGGGGAAATCTATCATTTCTTGCCCCAAATATGTCTTGTAGACATTCAATAGGAACAGCGTCGTTTTTTGGCATTGGGACTGTGGCAGGAACAGCAGTTTTTATGCTGGTAGAGCATCTTGCTGACTCATGACATGGATAGACCTTTAATCTGGTCACGAGAAGGAAGCCTTTAACTTTAATATGTTAATATACACTGCAGCAAAAGTATCCCAAATTAATAAGGCTGCAAAAGGTTAGAAGTTAACTACCGCATGATGGGGTGAGCTCCCGTTCTTGCCCCAGCTCCTGTCAACCTAACAGTTTGAAAGCATGCAAATGAGAGTAGATAAATAGGTACCACTTTGGTGGGAAGGTAACAGCATTCCATGCTCCTTTGGCATATAGTCATGCCAGCCACATGACCACTGAATGTCTTTGGACAATGCAGGCTCCCTTGACTAAGCAACGGAGATGAACACTGCCCCCTAGAGTTGGACATGACTGGGCAGGGGAAACCTTTACCTTTTTTATCTAATGTAAAATGATTTCTTAAAGCTTCAGAGACATCTTTTTCCTGAAATTATTAAATGTACTCAAAACTTTGGTTTTGAGTTTCAAGAATGGGTTTGATTTATTAGAGTTGGACTTGATCAGTACTAATTTAGAAAATAGGGTTAAAGATTAAATCTCAGTTGGATTCCACTAATGTGTTAGATTTTGTCCTCTTGCAAAATACCAATCTGTGGGAAAGTGTTATACTTACGCAAACTGTAACCTGCCATCCAGCTGCCTTTGCTGAACAAACCTTGGATGAAACGAAATATCACAGACCATAAGTAGTTTGGCGAGAAGGCAACAAGTACTCCAGAGATTGTAGTTACCAGGACAGCAATTAAAAGGCTTACTTTCCGTCCAAATCTGCATTAAGAGAAGTAACAGATAAAGATGCTCAGAAAGATACAAGGAAAGCCATAAGCTGAAAATTTACTTAAGCTGCCCTAGTGGGTACTGCCCTGAGTAGGAGATGGACCTGTAAGGTGCCTTCTAACCATCTCATTCCAGCCGATTTGTTTAGCTCTTTCTAGGTTCATCATTGCTGCCTTGGTTCACACAACATCTAAACCTTAAATTTACTCTACTCATATAACGTGCTCTTCCAAAATTGATTAACCAGATATGGCTTAAGATGATTTACAATTCATGTAATTGGCTAAGACAATGGCTGGCCACCCACAATGCACTGAATCCTAAATTTTCCAGCCCTAGGTTAGATTAGTGTAGTGTAGCTCAGCAAACGTAAGTTTGGAGTTGCTAAAAATTTTCTTGAACACCATGAATAAAGATAAATTATGATCAACCTATCCCTGCCTCAGCTGACAAAGCCACTAGCTGAGTAGCCTTGCCTAAAGGAATAAATGTTTTTCTTCAGCAATAGTAAGCAGCCTGCATCATAGCGTCTGATTAACAGTTGTGAATCTGGACACAAGGTGGCAATGTTCACAGCAATATAAAGCATTGTAGGTCCAATTTTCTATTATTCTTCTCTGATGAGACATTTATATCTGCACTCTAATTTTATTTTATTTTATTTATTCACCATGTTTAGGGATAGAAAACTTTACAAAGCTTCTTGCCTTTACAAGAGAAGGCAAAAAATATGTAAATAATCCTGATACCCACCAATCTGTCAAGATTAAAGAAAGGGACTTAGTGTATACACGTATCCGTATCGTATGTTTATGTGCATGAATGTATGTTTGTTCCTCAAGCATGTGTTCTTTTTTTTCAAGCTGTTAAGGAATTGGTTTAAAATAGAGATTAATAACTGAGGCTCCAGCAGTGTTTGGCATTAGGAGAGAAAAGTCTTGCCTTAACCCCAAATCAAAATAAATGTTGAAACAATATCAACTGCATTTTCCATAGGTTTAGTAAAACAATAACTAAAAAATAGGCAATTTGAGGGGGTCAGGGGCCTCTGTATCTGCCAAAGAACTGCAGTTGAGCATCACCATAAAGAGTAAATCAAAATATTCCCCTCTTTTTATTTCCTTTAGGCTTTTAAGTGTGGGAACAGAAGTAATTCACCCTTAAACTATTACCCACAAATGTTAAAATCTAGGAGATAATTAGGATCATGCTTTAGATTTGCGAGTAAAGTGGGAGAAAACTGTCACCTTAATCCCAATTCACAATTCCCATCTTATTTTGAGTGTGTGTGTGTGTACCAAAATAACAAAAATCTTGACATTAAAATTTTACCATTGCTGTTGCTAGATTTGGAATTCATAATGGGTCATCTATTCCTGATCTCACAAAATGTTTGCCACAGATAGAGATACAGGGAGAAGCACTTCCTGTTATGTTTATTTACACATAAAAATATTTTCTTGTCCCAAAGGTGCTTTTTTTTTTAAAAAAAAAAGGCAATCTTTTTTTTCCCCTTTGGAAACTCGAAGAAGCTTCTTCAATTCTGATTGGTGGGGAATGGAAGGATTTATATTCTTTGCAGTCATATTCTTTGTTAGCTCTCTGAGAGTCACTGAGGCCACGTGAGTGTTTATCTGTGTCTTCCGGTTCACCTGAATCAGAATCAAATGAGTGTGGAATCTTCTTGGGACTGTTGAAAAGACTCCATTGTAAACAGGAGATAGGGGGTGTTGTATCCCTCCCCTTCTTGAATGAGCAAAATGTTTTTAAAGAAAAAAAAAACAAGAAAGTCCAGTTGTCTTTTGGGAAAAAAAAAGTACCTTTGGGACAACCATGACTTGGATGATTGAGAATCTCCATAGATACTTTCTTCTTTGTTCTTACTTTTTTGCACTTTGCCAAACATTGTTCATCCTGAAAGCATGCTGGCATGAATGTATATATATTTATTTTAAAAAGTTGGATGAAAATTGGAGTATTAGGTGTGGGAAGTCAGCCCCCCCCCCCAGAGAAGTAAATATTAATAGGGCAGAAAAATATATTTCCTCAAAGGATCTTAAAGAGGCAGAAAAGCATGCCCAGTTTTTTTTAATAGCCCCAAGTCTCCCTCCCCCAAGCAGAAACCAGCTCTGTAGAAATGCAGATAATCTTGTCAGAAAGACTGAAGTCATGAAAATGGGATTATGAAGGAAGACCCCTAGAATCAACACCAAAAATCTAAGAGTCACCAGCCCCAGCCCCAGGGAAGCAGGATATGACCCTTGAGACATAATAGGATTAACCCACCACCATCAGACTACCAGAAGGGCACACCCAGACTCAGGTCAAAATACATGACACAGGAAATACAAAGCCTCAAACAGGAACAGGAAACAACCTCAAGAGCCCCAGAGGGTATAAAAACCCACTCCCTACATGTGCTCGCTCCTCTTTCTTCCAGAGCCATCTTTCTGTCTGGCTCTCCTCTTCAATAAACTGCAACCTTCTTCCTAAAGCAGTCACCATGTTGTTTATTCTTGGCTTGGACTGAACCATGATGAAGAACTTTCCTTCAACATAGGGGAAGAGTTTGAAGAAGGGAGGGATTCTATAAAGCTTCTAAAAAGAAGACTAGAAGGATGGTGCGGCTTTGGCAGGAAATGTGAGAGGAAACACTGGAACATTTTTAGCTTCTTAGGGCTAGGAATGGTGGAAGCCCCGTTGCTTTCAGCTAAACTAACAAATCCCATTGAGAATCATGCAATGGAAAACAACATAATATTCAAGAGCAAAGCACCATGGAAAGAAAAATAAATAAAGCTTTATTTTATTTATCCTCTCTTCTCCCCATCAAGAGGAAAGCATCTTTCTACCACTGATCTTTTTTAAAAAAAATTAAGAAACTTAACAAGGAAAAGATCACACAGCAATGGTACCTTCAGGTATATAAAGCAGCAGTGTAGGGTCTTTGCAAGCCAAGATTTGAGTGCCAGTTTGGATTTTAATCTCTGTTTATTCTCTCCATCAAAACCTCATTTTAGAATAATTAAAATGCTCATGAAGAATATGATTAGAACACAGAAAAATGAACTAGCCGATAGATTAGGCATTCAGATCACAAAGAAAATAAGATACTTAGGGATACAATTAACAGCTAAGTGTGTGACAATTAAAAGAGACAATTATGATAAATTAATGGAACAGATTAAAACTGACTTGGATATCTGGACAAACCTTCAGTTCTCTTTTATGGGTAGAATTGCCGTAATCAAAATGAACGTACTACCTAAAATATTATTTCTATTTCAATGTATATCAATTAAATTAGAAAAGGAATTCTCTCGAAATTTCAACCAATCCATACTTAAATTCATTTGGCAAGGAAAAAAAGCAAGAATTAAATTAAAATTATTACAGGATGCTAAGGAAAGGCGGGTCTCGGCCTCCCTGACCTGGAAAAATACTATCAATCTACATTTTTACTATGGGTGCAGGATTGGATTTGATTGGAAAACTGGAGATTATTAAAATTGGAAGGTCATGACATGCAGACTAGATGGCACGCTATGTTATGGGAAGAGAAACATAAAGTTCACCAGTACTTCCGCAGGCACTACATTAAACGGCCATTAATAGATGTATGGACCAAAATCCGGCAACAGAATTATAGGCAAGTTCCCAATTGGATTTCAACATTAGAAATGTATATACACCAAGGTTTATCCAGTTAGGGAAAATAATAACTTATAAAAACATATTAGACAAGAGAGGAGAATTAAAATCGAGGAAAAATCTTCAAGATGCAGGGATAGAATTAGAATGGTGGGCATACCTCCAACTACAAGCAAGATATAGGAAAGACGAAAAAGAGTGGGGTATAAAAATAGAACCGACAGAACTAGACAAAATATTATTAGGGCCCGAGGGTAAAATGATTAAAAATATCTATCACTTTCTTTTAGATCAGGCAATGTATGAAGAACAGGTCAAGGAGACGATGCTAATTTGGAGGAGGGATTTTGGTTTCAGTATCGATCTGCATATTTGGCAAGAACTGTGGGAAAGAAATAGGAAACTCACTCTAGCTACCTTGTACAAGGAAAACCTCTATGTTTTATAGATGGCACTTCCCACCCGTAAGATTAGCCAAAATGGGTCCAAATATCTCACCTTTATTCTGGAAATGTAAAACAGCAATAGGATCATATTATCATATGTGGTGGGAATGCCCAAAGGCTTGTGAGTATTGGAATAGGATACGAAGATGGCTGAAAGATATATTAATGTTGGACTTAGAGTTAAAACCTGAACTTTTCCTGTTGGGAATAACTACAGAGAAATACAATAAGGAAACAATCTATTTGCTGTTACATATCTTGACTGCAGCTAGGCTTGCGTTTGCGCAAAAATGGAAGAGCAAAGAAATTCCCACAGAGGAAGAGACACTATATAAAATATTACAATGTGCGAAAATGGACAGGCTCACAATGGTATTGAAAGACAAATGTAGATCAGTTTATTTCGAAACCTGGGATAAATTTTACTGCTGGAGGTATTCTAGGAGGACAGTTGGGATTATAGGCTAGCGTTAAGATAGAAATATATGTAATTTTAGAATAAGTATTGTATATAAAATTTAGATGTATATTCAGAGATGAAGAATCAATTGTAAAATATGGAATAATTTGATAAGAATGTATATACTGGAATGTCATGTTATATCCAATGTTTTTTTTTTAATTGTATTATAAATAAAATTTTGGAAAAAAACCCTAATTTTAGAATATTGGGATTTTTTTTACAAATAATTCCTTGTAAGATTATTTCTCTGAGTTCTGACTGTCCAACTCAGCTTGTATATCAAGCTTATTCATTTTACCATCTGCTTTCTCTAAATTGTTTCACTTTCTTCATCATATTCAGACACTTCTCAGTGACCTGTTGAAGAGTAGAAATCCTTTTGGCAGAATTTCTGCCCAGGATACAGCCATGCTGTGTTTCCCACATTTACCTGATTATTACTCTTGTATCATGTCAGAATGCTGCCACACACTTTCCCCAAACCTTTATCATACTAATCCTCCTGTAATTTTTGCTTTCATGCTTCTTACTTTCCTATAATTTTTAGGAGCAACATTTTTCAAACCAGCAGAAATAGGAGCACAAATATACCATCAGCAAACCATATCCACATTTTAACATTCCTTTGATGTGTCATTTTTGCAGCCTTCCCATTTTTCTGCATTCTCACAGCTTTTACAATTTTTTATAAAGCTTTTTCTTGGTCAAAAATATTCCAAGCATTTGTTTCAACTCCATTCTTTGATATAATCATTATTATTCTGGAACCCATCTCCAAAATATTCCTTCCAACATTACCTCACTTCAGTTGCATCCAAAATAATGTGTTCACTTTTATGTTTAATTCCATTCATTCTAATGGAGACAGTTTAGTCCTCTTCATTTCCAGCAATCCTTGCTTTCCATTATTCACACTTAGATTGAATGATGAACCTACCTGTCTGCTATGTAGCCAGTGAATATAGATCCAACCAGAAACCCAGCATTCACAGCTGACTGAAACATATCTAGTTTCCAGGAATCTCCGCACACCAAGTTAAACTGAGGAGACAAAAACCAGTAAAGTAAAATTATAGAGTTCTAATCATTAAGACAGTTAAGAGCTGTTCACAGAAAAATCTACAATGTAAAGTGAAACATAAAATCAAACTAAATCAGATTTATTCTCAGACCCCTTCCTGAAAACTGCTTTACTCCAAATTTAAGAGAATAATTTGTTTTCTTTTTCATTGTATTCTACTAAATTGTTGTTGAACAGGTCAGATCTTTAGTTTTCCATCGTCATTCAAACAATTCAGGAAGACAAAGGAAGACAAGTATGTATGTATGTATGTATGTATGTATGTATTTATTTATTTTCTTATTTTCTTATCTCATTTGCCAAAAACATATGACTCCCCATGGAAGTTTGGGAAATTTCACTCTACCAAGAGAACACAAAATGCTGATGCAAGCCTTGGAAAGGCCTCACATGGCCAGCAGCTGCCTTGTGAAGAGCCGGGCCTGGCTCCAAAACGGCAGAGATGGGGGGGGGGGGAATGACATTTGAGGGGAGTTGAAGTAGAAGTAACTGCAACAGGGCAGGAGAAGCGTGAGGTAATTAGCTAACAATGCATGGTTCTGGTCTAACAACTGCAATGGGGACTACCAAAATTGCTATCAGCTGATGTTTTGCTTAATACCTGCTTTGTTTAGTGATATAAATTGGGACTGTCAGGGGAGAGGGTGCAAAATGATGTTTGGGAGCCAACTGATTGTTCTGCAGAAAGGATAGGCAAAACAAACAATGTTGAACTAAACTGTAGCAAGTGAAGGTCCTCCACTCTTATCTCCAGATGAGTAAGTCACTATCCAGGAAATAACTACAAGTTCAGAAAACATCGCAAAGGGGTTTCAAAATAAAGAAATGACAATTCATATATTTAAAATGACTATATAGGATATGGACATCTTCAACAGTGTTAAAACTTGGTTATATAACATGCATACATGTACTCAATGAAACAGATGCATTATGCCTGTCGTTTTTAATCCAATTGTCTATCCTATGGAACAGATCCTTTAATGTCATAACCAGTAAATATGCTTTCTCTTCTTTGATTACCTTCTCCTATGGATTAGGAGTTTTCAGACAACTATCAGAACAAGAAATGTGTTACACTTACAATAGTATCTGTAAAGACATTGAGGATGGAAACAGACATGGGAAAAAAATCTCTAAACTACCGTGTTTCCCCAGAAGTAAACCTGCCCCTGAAAGTAAACCAAACCCTACTTAAGGGCTTGCACGGATGGCCTGCCTCTATGACGAGGCAAAGCCAAGGGGGGAGAGGGGATCAGACCCACGGTACCGGTATACTGGTTCCTTACTACCGCCTGGCTTGTTCCACGGCCTCATGGTAGTGGCATTGGGCATGACACTTGAGGCGGCAAACAGCCAGTTTCAGCGTGACGCAGCCTATTGTTTCCCTTCCTATCCTCGTTTGTTTTTGAAAATGCCCCACTGATGGTACGGTGTGAGCGGGGTCCCCTCCGGCGCTGTCTGCCTCCTTTAGGAGGAGTCATGAGGCGCCAGAGCACCACAGCCACCGTGTGGCTTGATTGGCTGGGTGGGACCATGTGGTGTGGAAGCCAATAGTGGCGGTGGGAGACACATAAACATGGAGGCCATCTTTCACAAGAGGGTGAGTGAGCCTTTTGCCTTCTCTTACAGAAGATAGGGTGTGAGGCTAAAAAGAGATGAAGCGAGAGGAAAGAAAGGCAGCTGCGTGGAAGCTTGCCGGAACTTTGGGTAGTTCAAAGGCTAGGATGTCTATGAAAAGCTCTTTTTAGTCTTTTACACTTTATATTCAAACTGCACAGGGGAAGAATAAGAATAAAGCCAATGTCTTGTGATTTGGAGGTATTATTATTATTAATAATAATATATATTAATTATGTATTGGGCAGATGTAAAGATTGACCTACAGTATGAGGTTTAATCAGATCTATTTATTAAATTGGGTTTAACTTAAAGGTAAATTAAAAGTAATCTATTCACTGATAAAGGTTCAACTTTAATTTGTTTCAAGTCAATATCCATATTAAACTCCAAATGTACATTTTTCCACCTTGTTTGACAACTTCTTAAAAATAATTCAATCTTTTGCAAGTAACCAAATTTTGTTTTACTGGGCCAATTTCATTCCACATAGAAAGCTGACATTTCCACTCATTAAACTAAATGAGTATGCCAATGGTAAATGTCCCAAAAGATTAATAATTTAAATAATTATAAATAAATTTATTTATTTATTTAAATAAATATTATTTGAATTTAAATAATTTAAATTCTTGTCATTTAAAGCCACACAGTGCATGGTAACATTAATAGTATTAACTTACCTTGAACAAAATCCTAGTCTTTTAGATCCACTAAAAATTGAAGGGTTTTTTTTTTTTTTCAACTACAAAGGTAACCCTTGTAGGGTAGGCAAGGCAGGTTGTATGACGTGTGTGAGTTCTGGCACCTTTTTTTTTTTTTTTTTTACAAAAAAAGCACTGATTAGATCATTATCCCTTTGGAAGGGTATAGGAAAAGATGGAATACCCACTGAAATATAGCAAGCAAAAGAAGAAGAAAAGTCCCAATTAAGCTATGTCAGCAAATCTGGAGAAAATTGTGGCCAACAGACTGGAATAAATCAATCTACAGTCCAATACAAAAAAAAAAATTCACTATACAAACTGTCATTCAAAATTCTTAATTTTACATGCTAGCAAATAATGCTTGGGATCATTCAACACAAATTAGAGCTTCTTAAGACCATTCACTCCCTCTCAACCCTAAGAAGCAGGCAATAGTAAAGCATTTCCAAATCTTTTCAAGAAACTTGTAGGTATTAGTCCAGGCAGTTGCTGGGAGTAAACATTGAGTCAAAGGCACATGTACACATGCGCATGCACAACAGAGGAAAAGAGGGATAAATAAGTTTAGATTGCACTTTAAAATGTTTACAAATTCTAACCCGAGTATGCAGAATTCTCTATAGTAGCCATGGGGAAAATGCATTTATCTTTTTGCTGAATAAATCCAAGTGGGAAACCATGACGCAACAGATATTTTTAAAACAAAATCTTATAATCATTAGATTTGAAACAACTGCAAGACTTTACCTCAGTCACAATGGATATGATTGAAGCATCATAAAGCCAGCCATCTTGACAAGTGGTCACAAGGAGGCTCCTGTTCTCCTGACTGGTGAAGTCTTCCAGGGGATTTGTACAGCTCAGTTCACTTTCATTCCAGTTGATATTGTATCTCATGCATTGAGGGGTGAAAGTATCCTGTTTAGATGTCCCTTTTGGAACAGTGTGATTCAGTTCCTCTTCAAGAGTCCAGCCACACCGGTTGCTGAATTCAGTAACTCCTGGAGTCCAGCAACGGTGCTCTGGTGTAAACCCTAGAAAAACAACTCCTACATAGACTGGGGCAAAGACAGCTGAGAGAAAACAAACGAGAAAAAAGACCCTTTTCTGAAAGAAGTCAAATTCACCAATGTGTTCCAAAAGATCATCAAAGTCAGGCATTTTGGATGAAGCCTCGTTTAATTGCAATCCAGTATTTAATTGTACTGAGACGAGAGATGCTTATACAACAAGGAATTTAGCCACAAGATAAAGAGTTAATTTATGAATGATTAAGCCATCCATTGCAGCCTTTATAGATGTTTCACCAGAGGAAAGATAATCTCAGTAAGCTTCAAATATCTTTAGTGGCTTGTTTGACTTATTTAGCAGTCAGCCAGGTTTGGTAATAAACTTCTACGAAGGGTTCCAGAAATCATGATTTCACTGACTTGTTGTAGGTGAAAAATGAACAGGAACCAAATGAACAATCAGGATTTGTTCATGAATGCAAATATCAATGTGAACACTAGTAGTAGTCCAATCAGCAAATCTCTGGTGGAGAGCAAAGTCTCTTTCTCCTGCTTCCCAAAATATTTGTCCAGTGTTGGACACTGGAAATATTCTTGTATAATCACGTACTCTGCCTTCCATAGTACATTTCTTCAAGTGCTATCCCTAATTCACCCTGTAATGAATATTCTAGGAAAAAGCCATCATGAGTTAGACTGGCAATCTGGAGAGAGGTAGTGATTCTGTTACAATTTGACTTTCAGAGCTATTCAACAGAGCTATCGGCTACTTGTTAATACTCTAGATTAGTACAATTTTAAAATAATACCATTTCCATTATTATTTTTCAAAAGCCCAAAAACATATACAAAAATCACATACACACTGTACAATATTCACACTACGTGTTTGTATCTATATATATAGATAAACATGCACATATTTCTTAATAAGTATGTTTAGGATCCTAATTGATTAAGGGATCTTCTAACTTCCGAACTACTGAAGTCAGCAAAGACATGATGGATCTCCATTGCTTAATTTTCAACATTTTTCTTTAATACCTGCTAACAAATCTAAGTCATGCAATTTGAATTTCTACAATTGCAATCATACAACAGCAGACTGTAATAATTCTTTTTCCTAAAAAGTATCTTCATTGTTCATTATTGCATAATTTAGCACATCTTTCAAAAGCTCTCATAATATTTCATTTATTCACACATATGTTTCAAAGAATGTTTTCCCACATAATACCAGCTTAATATTAATTTCAGACATACTAATTAAACAGAAATGATTGTTATTTTAAAAATGTGTATGTATCTTAAAAGTTTTTCCTTACCCAACTTTCATTTAAACCCAGTTGTGGCCATGAATAACAAATACTGAATTTTTTCACCCTTTATAAAAAAAAATTCAAATCTAGCAGTCAAATTTATGCTATTTTCTAATTAGACAATATCCAGTTTGGCATATTTGTTTGTTTGACGCTAATTCCACAAAATGCATCATTTGTTTGTTTATTGCATTTGTATCCTGTCATATCTGTAAAGATTCTGAGTCGTTTACAATTAAAATCCAATGAAGTAAAAAGTAAGTAAAGCAAAAGTTTTAAAAAATCATGAATTGTATAGTGCCTTCACTAGATGACATTTGCCCAAACTATATCAGCTCATTCAGAGAGTTTAGGGGAGTTGAACTGGTAGCTAAGAGCCTTGGGAAAACAGACAGCTCTCATTTATACCCTTTACAACTTTCTCCCAAATTCTGAAAAACAGCCCTGATTCATGTTTTTGAAATTCACTGGCAAAATGGCTACATTTTGTTGCATGATTTGGGGCATTAAAAAAAAAAAAAGATTGGGGATGTTTTAGGTGCAGAAATGGGAATGATTGCTTCCTGAGGCCACCTGACCTCATTTTATTTTTATTTTTGGAAACAAAATCAGCTATTTTGCCTTAATTTTCACATTTCAGGGTATTGGGGGCCACGACACAGTTTGCAGATTGTACACCCCTCATTCAACGTGTTGATTAATTTTAACTTTATTCCAAGTGATGTCTTGTTTAAAAAAAATCAATTGTTTACCACTTAAGTTTTTATCATGAATGGTTGATAGGAACATGGATAGAATGTCATTGGAAGGGACATCCCTTGAAAGACTGCAATCCTGTCTCCCCATAGCTGACTTGTCTTTAAAACAAAGATACTCAGTTCTTTTAACCAATCTTTACAGGATTTTGTTTTCAAGTACTTTACCCCTCATCGTTCTTCTTTAGGCTGTTATGTTACTTTTTCACTTTTTTCCCTCCAATTAAAGTTGGCAAGCATATTTTCTCAGCTTTTATTCTCGAAAACAAAACTTCAAGTAAAAATGCAGCAGTTACTGATCATTTGCTATCCCTGTCGAAATATAGTTCTATTAGATTAAATTACAATATTATACATATCAAATTCATGTACATTGAAACGGCTGTGTAAAATGTATAAATGTATAATAAAATGTATGTCAATATACACATCTGTGAGAAACAGTTTGATTTATATAATTTTGTTGTAACTGTATTGCTCCTTTTTCCTTTGTCCTTTCATTTTTCTTTTCTCCTTATTATTTAGTCATAATCATAATTTAACTTGCAAATTAAATTTTATCTAAAACTTTATATTTCTACATTCAAAATTTCTTAGATGTAGAAAGAGAACGTTTTTAAAAAACAAACTTGGTTAGTTAAATCTACCTTGAATCAATAAGAAAATTGACAACCTTTTGCTTCTTTTAGAGGAAAACAATGTTAGGGGAAAGAGAGAAAGAAAGATTTTTGATCTGCTGTTAGATACTTACCTGTCTGAGCAGTTTCTGATGTCCGATGGTAATTCCTTTCTTAAAGTTTAGACGATTTCTTTCCCCCTTCCACTTACTTTACACGGATATTTCTGCAACTAAACTGAAGCAGTAATTTGAATTGCTTCCATTAGAAAATGGAAGACTGTACATTTAAAACTATTTACTTTTCAACCAAGTTTGACTGTTTGGCTGAGTCAGGGAGAATTGCAGGGTCAAGGTATGAAGAGAGCTGCAATCTGGCTTGTTTGTTCAGTTGTGTGGGTATGAGTGCTTATGTTCAAGAGATGGGAGAAAGAGGGACCTTTTTTTTAGCAGCAGAGATTCCTACTGGTTAAGGCGGTGGTGGTGGTGGGGGAAACGCGATATATATTTTTGCCAATTTCACAGTCTCTGCAGCACCTCCCATGCTGGGTCAGAGAGTCTGTCATAACCCTGGAGTACATTTGTAAGAGACCCAGAGTGAATGAAAAGGTAAATTGAGAAAATCATCTTCCTCCCAATCTGCAGGTAGGAAAATTTCATGATTATCATTGTTGTTGCTGTCTTTCGGACACACTCAATTCCGTCAATGTCCTTCCTAAAATTCAGTCATCAGAATTGGATGCCATATTTTAGATATTTCCTGACCAACACAAAGTAGAAAGCAGCTATTACATCTCTTGATTTTGATCCTGTGCTTATGATGTTGCAGCTTAGAATTGCATCTTTTTTTAAAAAAAAAACCTGAATATTGTATTTAACTCATGTTCAGCTTGCGAGTTATTAAAATACCCAGAACCATTATTCATGTACTGCTGCCCACTATGGTTTTCCCCACTTGTACCATCTGATTTTTCTTTCATGCATGCATTTGTCCTTCTTGAAATGTAGCTTGCTGGTTTTTGCCCATTGTATGACCTTGTCAAGGTCCTCCTGAATCTTGATATTATTCTCTGTTGTTTGCCATGCTATTTTTGTGTCATCTGCAAATTGATAATCATATTTTCTAACTCGTCATCCAAATTATTTAAGAATATGATCAGAGCCTAGAATGGAACTGGACTGGAATTCAATTCAATTCTAGCCTGAAGTTGAGTCACTGATGTACTAGTATGATTGTTCAAGCTGTTTTATACCCAACTAATAGCAATTTAGAATCAATTTGTTACAATGGTTACAGCATCATGCTAAAAACCACGATTCTGTGATTTTTAGTCCTGTCTTCGGCACAACGCCAGCTGGGTGACTTTGGGCCAGCCACTCTCTCTCAGCTCTAGGAAGGGGACAATGGCAAGCCACTTCTGAAATCTTGCCAACAAAACTGCAGGGACTGGTCCAGGCAGTTGCCAGGAGTAAACACTGACTTGAAGACGTACACACATATACAGTGATAGCATTACCCAGTCCACATTTTACTCTTATCTATCAGAGTTTCAGGAGAAAATGGTAAATGCAGAATATGCCACCATATTCTGTTGGTCAGCAAAACTGGTCAATCTGTTGAAAAAAAGATCAGGTTATTTGGTGTGGAATATTTAGTTGGATTATCACCATAGAAATTCATTAAAGGCCTTGGACCTAATTTCAAGTACTTCTATTCTAAAAATTGTTTAAAATAGAAAACTACTAAAAATCCAATGTTGTACAACATAAATATAATCTGAAGACCAGTGAATAGCAGATTGGCTCATCTACCTATCAGATTCACAAATAATTAGTGTTGTTTTTCATTTGACATGATTCCTTTTGCCATAAAGCCATATCCACAACTTCAGATTATTACCTCAGTCTATATTTCCGAAGGCTATCGATTAGCTCTGTTTCCAATACTCATGGAAATGCTTCCAAATATTTGAAGCTATACATTATTTGCTAATTTTACATTGTCAGGGGAAAAAACTTGTTAAAGAGAAACAAGAGACAACACAAAACAAAATTCTCACTTTAGGATCTAGAGGTTTATTTAAATTTGACATACAATTCAGTACTTACATTTCAACAACTTATTGCAATAAGAACCAAATGGACAGCAGTCATTAAGTGTGACAGATGGGCCAGGAGGCAACACCCAAACCTTTGAAGCAGGCTTTATACCTTAACGTTGTGCCCACCTCTAGCATTCTGGTGCCACCCAATAGCCATCCCATTTCTCTTTGTCAGGACTTAACTCCGGGTCAACTCCCCTAGAACTGACCACTGCGTTAGTTCTTTATTCTTATTCTGTTGTACTAGTTACTGAGCCAGTTACTGTTGTACTAATTTCCTGTTCTTCCTTGTCCTTGCTCTGACCACTACTTTCCTCACTACCATTTCTACTCATGTCGTTGTACCCATGAACAAGGCTCAGTTCCTCAATTCCTATGCTATCTGGTTCCACACTCTGTTCTTGTGAAAATGTGTGCCAACCACAATCTTTCACCCTCTACTGCAAAAGTCACAGTTCTTCCTTTTACTAAGTATGTCTCAGCAGACACCGGTCTTTATTTTAATAGACTATCAAAGAAATATGTTTGATTTATACAGAAAGAATTATTAAGATATTTTTTTTCCTTTCACAACATCTGGATGAATTTATGACCTTCTAGATCAGGAGTGTCAAGCTGCCAGCTCGTGGGCTGGTTGCATCATGTGGTGGCCACACCCACCCCAGCTCCGGCAATGCGAAAAAAGTCGTGATACGTTGCGACACATCACATGACACGGCGAGTTTGACACCTGTGTTCTAGAAGTTACTGCCTCCAATCTGTTCTTCAATTTTTTCCCCTTCTTTGCAGTAAATATCAAAAAGATGGGAGAAGCAACAGTAAGATATGGGAGGTTTATATGTGGACATTGACATCATCCAGATCTCCCATTAAATTATATGAATAAAGAATCATTACACCACAAAAAATCCTCCATACTAATAATTTATAGCATCACCCAACCATCCTTATGATGATATAACTCATAATAGACCCATAGAATGTAACAGTTGTATGGGACCTTAGGGATCTAAACAAATGCAGGAATTCATTACTGTTACCCCATAAATATGAGTACAGGGACATTCTACAGTAGCAAATATTTTATCTTATGGCCCAGAGACCTCAGAAGTCTCCAATGTACTAATAACACTGACCTGCCACTTCCTAGATGATGACAGCCTCCTGTTTCTACTTTCTATATTAAGGTAAATCAAATAGATACATCTATCAAAGGTCAATCATTGTGGAAACACATCAGGATTAATCAAGAAGGGTTTTTCATATGGGAATTCTTTCAACGGTTATTGCAAAGGAATGTGGGGAAAAAATAGGAAAATAGGTATCTCTGTTAAAAATTGACACTTATCTGCTATGGGCTAGGCTACCTGCTTTTTCAGGCACCACTTTTTAAGTGGGAATTTATTCACAGATTTAGGAAAGATTATGTGCTCTCCTAATTTCTTAAGTGATGGGGAAGCTGGAGAGGCAATGCTGACTATTCTATGTTTTCTTTGGCTGGGAGAACTGCTTGTGTTATGTTTTGCAATTGTAAGTTGCTGTTGTTGTTTTATTTGAAATCAGATGGGGATTGCAAATAGGAAGAGAGAAGCAGCAGCTCCCATTGCATAAGCTAAATACTACTCAGCTCCCAGCAGATTTGGCCCTATAGATTTCTACTTTTAGTATCCTCAGAAGACTATTAGAAACTTTACCTCCATCACTGAGAACTATTCTCCTCTGACTATAGGTAGTCCTTGACTTACAACCAAAATGTATGTTATTAAATGAGAATTTGTTGAGTTTTGCCCTATTTTACGACATTTCTTGCCACAGTTGTTAATTGAATCACTGCAGTTGATAAGTTAGTAACCTGGTTGTTATGTGAATCTGGCTTCCCCATTGAATATGCTTGTCAGAAGTTCACCAAAGGGGATCACATGAGCCTGGGACATAACAATGGTCATAAGTATGAATCAGTTGCCAAGCATCTGAATTTTCATAAATGATCATGGGGCTGCTGCAAAGGTTGTAATTGTAAAACTGTCATAAGTCACTTTTTTTCAGTACTGTTGTAACGTTGAATGGTCACTAAATGAACTGCTGTTAAGTCAAGGAGTACCTGTACTGTAACAGTGGATTTTCTGAGCCAGGGTCAGCATATCAGAATTAACGCAGAAGCCTTTTTAATACAGGACATGTTTGTATTTGCAGAGAAATCCCCGCACAAACACTGCACAAGGTACTTTGCATGTAAACAACCAGTGTGGAAATATGCATCACACAACATAGGCCGAAAGAGTGGGGCTCTTCTTTATCATGATTGCCAAAATAAAAATAAAAATAAAATGCTGGCATAGATCAGAGAAAGAGACTTAAATAGTATAAGCTTTAAAATAGACTTACCTGGTTTTTTTTTTAAAAAGAAGAGACTCCACCTTCCCCTTCCAAGAGAAAAACATGCAACCTTGCTCTGTGTCTGATGTGGTTTCCCCAATTTCTTGGTCGTCACTCCATCTTTGGGCTTTCACCCAGCTCCATCATCAAGAAAGAGTCACCGCCCATAAGGCATTGCCTATCTATGCTTTAGGACAGCGGTTCTCAACCTGTGGGTCGCGACCCCATTTGGGTTCGAACGACCATTTCACGGGGGTCGCCAAACAATGCAGTCCGCCATTTTTCCCCCCTTTTCCTTAGCTGTGCTATCCCTTTTATTCTATTGGCTTTTGAAAGCCAATAGGAATCGTCCAGGCTATCTCTGCCCTGCTGAGCCCGCCAAAAGTCCCAGTCTGCAAACGGTGCTGCAAGTTGTCTGCAGCGAAGGCGAGCTGTCTGGAAGCTTCCACCCTTCCCTGCTGAGCAATGTAAGTAAAAGAGGGCCAGGGACGGGAGGTGGGAGGCCGGCGGGCACAAGGAGGATTGCTGGCATGCGTGGGGCCCGGCAGGTGCCTTACCTCCCTTGGCCCAGCCGGTGGTCATCCTGCACCGTTGCTGCCCCTCGCCAGCTACGCCTCGGCTGGCGCAGGGGGTGGCACCACGCATACGCAGTGCTCCCAGGCAGGGAAAGTCCTTGTCTTACAACTGGTTGGGTAGTCCTCAACTTACGACCGGTTGGGTAGTCCTCGACTTACGACCGGTTGGGTAGTCCTTGACTTACGACCAGTTTAGGTCATGGCATTAAAAAGGTTGAGAACCATTGCTTTAGGAGGATGCATCAGAGCTGCAAAATCACATTTCCCAGGCTTTCTCTGAAGGAGAAAAGCTAATCCAGAGGCACTATAGCTTGGCCTAGTAAAAATGGTTTCAGCTTGCTAAACAGGACTGGCCTGATGCAATGAAGCACAATTATAGCAACAGGTTATACAGCTTGATAAAGCCGAAGGGGAACATTTATTAAGAGTTGTGAGAACGCTTATGGACATTTTGTCTGCTATGATTAGACAAGACAAAGGGGGCTCTAGGTGCCGAGGGAGGGGTGCTGTTGCTATGGGACATCATTATCTGACCAAATTCTGTTAAGTTGCTTCTCCCTCCTTGCCAAATGAGCCGAATGGTGTATTTTCCCTCTGTGCAGTTACAATAAACTTGGCTCAAAGTGGGGCCTCCACTTATTAAAAAGAGTAAGGGGCTTGTTTTTCCTCTTTATCTCCTAATGAGAAGTGAGAAGTGGAAGGTATGTTCCCAGAGTGCTGTGGTTAAAAATTAAACCACGATTATCAAATTATTTTTGTAAGGAGGACACTGGAAAAGGACAGGTTCCTCAAGATTAATCTCTATTATATATAAGCTATTGACACTCTGCTACAGAGCTACTTGGTTTTTCAAGCACCTCTTTTAAAGTAGAAATGTACTCAACAGATTTATGAAAGATTGTATGCTGTCCTAATTTTTTAAGTGGTGGAGAAGATGGAGAGACAATGCTGGCTTGTAGTAATCACTCCTTAGTCATTGAAGGGTGCAAAGAAATGGCCACCTTCTACGTAGCCTTTTATTATATATAGAGGTTTACAAATAGCAAAAGTTACTGCATGGCAATAGCAGTTCATTGGCTAAAATCCTTTACCAATCCTCAAGAGTAAAAAGCTAGAGGCCATAAACAGGGAAACTTGTTGTTCCACCAGCCAGCCTTATCAAACTGGCAAGATCACACAGACCTGCGTACTTTCACGTCACCATGGTGATGTGAGGGGGGGGGGAGAAGATAGATGCATAGCAAAGGCACAAGCGTAGGGGGGCGCAGTTTTCCGCACACGACTTTCGCCTGTCTCTCACCTCTACATCTCACTCCTTTTTGTTTTGTTAGACGAAATATCGCCATAAGCAGGGTTAATAAAAGGATTATAATCAGGAGAGGAGCATCCTTGTAGTTGTTAATATAGGGCCAAAACTTGACCCTAGGCAATATGAGAGAGGATCTACTGGGATTTAAAGCTCTAATACATATATTGCAAAATGAAAGAAATACATTACATAAACAGCACCCATAAAGATCCTAAGGCACCAATTTTCAAATCAGAGGCCAAATTGTGTAAAATTTATTTGCCGAAACTGCATAGGTGAATGTCAAGTTTCAGATTCACTCCACTCTTCTCAGATTACAATTCCAAGCAGAGGAAAAAAAATTTTTAAACGAACAGTTCCCCCCCCCCTCCTTCCTGTCTCTGGCTCTTTAAGCAACGCAGCCAGCCGAAAGAGACGGGGGGGGGGGGAAATCTCACCACCAAAAAATAGTTTAATCTCCTTCATATATATCTTTCAATAAATTCTCTCATACATTCTCCATGAAATTCTTCTCATACAAATATTTATTATTATCATCACAGTTAGGGAGAAAATGGGTGGGTTTTGAAGGCTAACACACACTTCAACAAATTAACTCATTCAATTCCATACTGACTGTTTGCATAAAACCATTCCACATACAATTATTTCATTTCATACTTTCTCCAGGCAAACCATATATTCTTAGCAAGGCCTTTTTGTATTGTTGTTATCAGAGAGGGCTTTCAGCCTCTTCCAAGTCTTGGAATAACACAGAACAACACAGACAAACGTATATACACAAATACTGTTACAACAACATTTATTTAGACATATAACTTGTCCTGCAAGAAGCGAGAAAAATGACAAGGTGATTTCAACCAAAAAGTGGTTTTGAGGGCCCTAATCATCTCCCATTTTTCTCACCATTCCAAGCCCAAGCATAATGTTCTGAGTGGCCACACACACACACATAACACAAAGCACAACCAGGCATTTGTCTGATGGTTAACTTAATATATTGCAAAGTTCCAAAGCATTCCGATTGCTCAAAAGACTTTGTTCTGAGGGAGTAAATTTTGATTTATGTCTCAACTAATAAAGCAAAGAATTAGTCTCTTCAGAAGAAGCTGAAAATCCAATTAAAGATGTTTTTAGAAGGAATAAATTTTACTTAGTTGATGGGTCCATTTTTTCCTCCCTTTCTGACAGGAGTGAACACTATAGATGTAATACTGAAGCCCAAGGTTCAAGATGTAATTTATGCTCTATCTTTTAGCCTAAGCGTCCGATGCTCAGGATTCGAAGAACACTGTTTTCTTATCTCCCCAATCAGCTTCCTTATGTTCGTTTCAAGCGTGGCCAGGCCTGATTTCTGTAGCAGGAATCTGAACTCCTGTACATGCTTTTGCTGAGGGTGAGATAATTTACAGCCCATACTTACTCGCTGAGGGGTCTCGTAAGACGAAAGTGCACCTAGGGGTGTTCCACATGATGGTAAGTATGTTGGCAGCTGCTTCTTCCCGTAGGGGTCCCAAAACATCCCTGCTGAGGGCGCCAGCTGTAGTAATCACTCCTTAGTCATTGAAGGGTGCAAAGAAATGGCCACCTTCTACGTAGCCTTTTATTATATATAGAGGTTTACAAATAGCAAAAGTTACTGCATGGCAATAGCATTTCATTGGCTAAACTCCTTTACCAATCCTCAAGAGTAAAAAGCTAGAGGCCATAAACAGGGAAACTTGTTGTTCCACCAGCCAGCCTTATCAAACTGGCAAGGTCACACAGATCTGCGTTCTTTCACGTCACCATGGTGATGTGAGGGGGGGGGAAGATAGATGCATAGCAAAGGCACAAGCGTTGGGGGGCGCAGTTTTCCGCACACGACTTTCGCCTGTCTCTCACCTCTACACTGGCTGTTTTAGGTTTTCATTGGCTGGGAGAATTGCTTGTATGTTTTCCATTCGCAAGTTGTTTTACTTGAGATCATATGTTGACTGCGGGGTGGGGGATGGAAGAAAGAAACTCACATTGGGTGAGCTGACTATTGCCCAGCTCCCAGCAGATTTGCCCCCATAGACTTCTTCTTACTGTCCTCAGAAACTCCACCTCCCTCACTGAGAACTATTATGCTCTATTTGCCTCTTGTTTCAACAATAACTTTTCCAAGTGATAGCACTTTTGTACCGTAGTTGAGTTTGGCCCCATTTTATGACCTTTCTTGCCGCAGTTGAATTATTGCAGTTGATAAGTTAGTAACCCGGTTGTTAAGTGAATCTGGCTTCCCCATTGACTTTCCTTGTCAGAAGGTCGCAAAAGGTGATCACGCGACTTTGGGACACAGCAACACTTATAAATATGAACCAGTTGCCAAGCATCCAGATTTTGATCATGTGATCATGGGAATGCTGCGAAAGTCATAACTGTGACCTTTTCAGTGTCATTGTAACTTCGAACAGTCACTAAATGAACTGTTGCAAGTCAAGGACTACCTGTATCCTACATGCATACCCATAGCCCTCCCAAAGAAATTTCTGGAATTCAGAATCTAGTACTGAATGGTCCAATTGGCCAATCTGTAGCTCAGTGCATTGGG